TATTCCGAATTACATGCATCGATTAGCACAAAAATAACATCACAATTCAACAGTATTATAAAATTAAAAGCATTTTAGTAAGATATCAGCGAGATGGTTGTGCTTGCCTAAATTTGCACAGTTCGTCAATAACAGAGGCTATCTTGCTAATGAAGAGCCACAAGTCAGCTTCAGCATTCAGGCCATTCCTATATTTAATATCTTTGAAGCTATCCGTTAATCTGCCTAAGGGAAGGAACTGAAGGAATTTTTAAGAGAATCTTGTTCATAGTTAAACTACCACAACTCCCATGCAACCTGCCTATTTTTCGAGATTTGAAGCTAAGTCGAACTACTGAGGTTCAGCAATTTTAACGCTTGGCCGCTTGGTGGGCTAAAAGAAAGTAGAACTATTACCGAACTCTTTCTCTTTTAGTAGCTACAATAATATAGCGCCAATTTCCATCTCTTCGTTAAGGAAAATACATATACAGGGTGATTATAATTAAAGTTTAAGTTTCAAAACGCTATAAAAAAAGAACCACTGATGAAAATGATGTGAAATTTGAAAGGAATGTTATTGAAGAAGGCGGAACGAGTATGGCAGAAGAAAAAAATTTAGTTTTCAAAAGTTAGCAACAGATGGCGCTGTAAGCGGCGAAGCAGAATCACGACGAGAAACGAGAAATGTTTCGTAAAACAACGGCTAAGGTGGAAGTTACACATTAAAAAACGCAATTGACAAATTAGAATTGTTGAATAATTTTATTTGCATGACTGTACATATCACATCGGAAGGGACAAATCGGTGGGTTTCAAGAGTTTTGCGGCGGCATACCGCATAAGAACCATTCATCAAAGAAGTTCGGAACTGTCGCAAAACATGTTCAATATGGTGTCCACCGTTGTGTGCAACAAGTTGAAAGCGACAAACAGCATGTTCCACAACGGATCGCAGTGTCACCGGAGTGATGTTCAGAATGTTTTGCGAAATGCGTGCCTTTAATTCCGCTAAATTTGCAATTGGAGCATGGAACACAACATCCTTCAGATATCCCCACAGCCAGAAATCACACGGAGTAAGATCAGGCGATCGGGACGGCCAGGCTGTAGGGAAATGACGGCTGATAATTCGAGCATTTCCGAAATGGTGCCTCAGCAGCTGCTTCACGGGATATGCAATGTGCGGAGGAGCGCCATCTTGCATAAAAATGATTTCATTCACACATCCACGCTGTTGCAGAGCTGGAATCACGTGGTTGCGCAAAAGAGACGCATACCTCTCACCAGTGACGATTGCGGGGTAACAGGACCGGAAGCACCCGTCTGCTCGAAAAAAATAGGGTTGTATGATGACTAATGCCGTAAAGCCACACCATACCGTGACCTTTTCAGGATGAAGTGGTACGGGGTGCGTTGCCAGTGGATTTTCTGTTGCCCATATTCGACAATTCTGGGTATTCACGTATCCTGTCATATGGAAATGGGCTTATGGTCATATGGTCATATGGAAAGTGGATAATGAATGGCCGTGGAAAATTTCCAACGTCTCCCTAGCTGTCAGGTCAGAAGGAAGCAACTCCTGCACATGGCCAATTTTGTACGGATAGCATTGCAGGATGTTTCGTACCTGTCGTTTCGAATTTTTGCATCATTTTCTTTAGACCTACGACACTCATTGGACCAACGCCTTCTTTTATACCCTTCAGTGTCCTGAATTTTTGCAGAGCTACTCTTGCACAATCATCATTCTTGTAATACAGCTTTACCAGCAGAGCGCGGTCCTGCAGTGGAAAAAACACCCATGGCGAATGCCTGAGTCGCGAAATGAGGAACAGCCTGGTACCTGGCAGCTTTATAACACTGAAATTTAACTAACATTTTAATTTACGTCTTCTTCCGCTTGCAGCGCCATCTGTTGCTAACTTTTGAAACTAAATTTTTTCTTCTGCCATACGCTTTCCGCCTTCTTCAATAACATTCCTTTCAAATTTGACGTCATTTTCATAAGTGGTTCTTTTTTTATAGCGTTTTGAAACTTAAACTTTAATTATAATCACCCTGTACTATTTTTCAAATATAAGCTTCAGATATTAATTCAATTTCCTATGAAGTAATCAGTAGTAATGTTGTAAAGTTGGTGACTTTGTTGCAAGATCTAACGACTTTTGATGCCAGGGAAACCCACACATGCAGTAACTGAAAAATAAAATAAAATGCGGTGAAGATTGCGATTTATAAAAATATATGGCAGCTTTGCAATATTAGCTAATATTATCAAAACATCAAAATTAATAAATTAAGAGTCGCAAAGGATTTCAGTAAAAAGCACGCATGACAGAAGATAGGAAGAAATAACCAACGACTGATGCAATTTTAATAAAAAATTTAAATAAAGGCTTAAGGGAGCTAATACATCATTTGAAAAATACTGGCTGAACTCCTAAATGCAGAGTCAAATGACAATAGATGGTTGAGCGCCTAAAGCCAGCTAAATTATGCAAGAGGTTGTCTTTATGAACGTCAATAGGCACCACTAGAAATGAAGGGTTAATACACTTAGTCAGTTGTTACTACAGCAACATTCCATTGTTATACACTGCCCTATAAAAGTTAAGGAACAGCATGGTTTTCGTGTCTAATTTGAGAATGAAGCAATGTAGAAACAAGAAATTTAGAGGATATGTTTACTAAATATTTCTTTAATGAGTGCGACATACAAGGTCTTCAACACAAATATGAATTACAACTAAAAATTGCACTCTTTGGAGAGAAATCTAGTCTTGGGGAAAGAGTACATCACAGAATTTTTAGGAAAAATGTGGTGGTTACATTACAAAAATCTGCTCTAAGAAGGAGTATGTCCCACACTTCGTGTCCAAAATATAAACGCATAAAGTCATCTGATTAACCCTAAAAGAAAGAAAATTTATTCTGCTTTTTTTCTCTTCAAATGAAAATTATTTTAATATAATTAAAATTAAGATGTCTATAAATTTATGTCTGCATCTACGCATTACACATGTGTGGATACATAATTAAGAGGATAACTTCCACATATAGCTGCTAAAAAATTCCATAGCATAAAGGATTTCTGAAGCTGCAAGGGATATTCTGCCACACTGCTTCGTGGTGTAATTGGAAGGACGTCCGGCTGGCAGTCAAGAAGTTCGAATTCCGAGGAGGACATCGCAAATTTTTCACATCTCTTGCTCTGAAATAAAAACCTAATGACTTTCAAAAGCATTTATCAGACTGGTGAAAAATGTTTTAAAAATATTTTTTTTTTTTCAGTTTTCAGTTGCAATTTTCAGTTTGGTTTGGTTTTCTTAATTATGATAAAACATGTGAGCGCTATCTATTTAATATGGAGGATTATTTCGTGTAGGAACTTCTAAGAAACATCGGTTCGTATCAACGTTACGCATAGGGAAAATCTCGGAAACGGCAGCCCATTCGCCAGGATTGGAACTCGATAACATTTACGAAAATTATCTGTGCAAACAACCTGTTTGGCCACCGATATTTAAATCTTGGATTAAATTGTCAAAATTTGGTGGTCTCAGCGTTTTAATCAACTTGCGACTACAAAAGCGTTTATGAATGCCGACATCTTTACTTATCGACGAAGTAGCACTACAGTGGTTCCCAGCCATAGTGGAGTAGAGTGAAATAAGAGTGCACATTGTCTGGCAAAGAACTGATTGACTGACCTGCAAAAGCCCAAATTTTATGAGATTTTATTCTGCTAAGAAATTGATAAGTGCGGAATTTAGCAAGATTCGTGATTCAAATTTTGGCGCAAAAGCTAGGAAAAATTCTTGCCGATATCACCTAGACATGAGACATAATATCCTAAATTCTTCTCGTTATAACAAGGTGTTACGTTATGTCACTATTATCAATTTTGGTATTATTCCGTTTTCTGACTGACCATGATTGTCCCAATGGTCATCCCTTTTACATTACACTCAGGAATTTTCCACTGTGTTCTCTTTATAACTCTGCCTTTTAGAAGGCCAAGGCCTTCGCTTACTTGTTCGCTTAAAATACCGACACACCTGAAATTCCATTTAAGATTCACAATTTTCCCCCTCCCATCCATTGATGAACAAAGAGGTGTGAAGATTCCAAATCATATCGTTTCCAGTTCCTAACAAAGGAGCTACCATTAGTCTCTGTGCGTATGCTAAGTCACCTTTAACCTTAGGCTAAAGATCCACAAATGAATACTTTTAAAACAAGACTGTCTGTAATAAAGATGAATTTATGCAGTACATCATGGAAAACTTTACTTTAGGCTATTGTGCACTTTAGGGAAAGGGTAGGAAACCGAGCATGGCGTTCTTGACCGTTCGGGGGGGTGCTGCCGTTGGTTGCTTGAATGATACTCCGTATCATGCGTTTTAGCCGTGAAAGTGTTAAATAATCCATGACCAAAAAACAGTTAAATACGAGCTCTAAATAAATAGTTTCAATCCTGCATCCCAGAAGTAATGGAAAAAGAGACGACTAATAGCTTAAGTGCCAAAAGCCAAGTAGTCGTAAATATATAAATAAATAAATATATTAATAATTGGTAGAGAGTCTGTGATATAAATTTTTCATTTGCCTATTTTTCTTTATTCGAAATCGTTAAATATTGAAAACAATCAATAGAAAATTCGATAATTAATAAATGCACACACGATCAGCAGTCAAAAAAATAATTAAATCGAGAATTCCAAAATTAATTGATTCGGTATCAGCCGCATGCCGAAATTGCTTTCGTAAGTTTTAAATGTTTCGCAGCTTTCATGTGTCTGAAAATATGTCAAGACATGATAATTTCTGCCATCGCATAAATACCTCACGAGTATTAAACAAATAATCATTTTCTCCTGACTTTTATTAAATACTGCAAATAAGTATATGATTCTGAAAATAAGAAAAGTGATTTACCTAAATATTTTCTGTGTGGTATATAAGTGTATATTCTGTAAGAAAGATGCAATCTTTTAATAATATTTATTTAATTAAAGGCTTGCTGCTGATGAAGTAAATCCGTCTGCTGTAGAGTCAAATCTTCTCAACATTGACATGGGCGAATTAACCTATAACCCTAGTTTCAAAGATCTTGCGGATTCAGAAATACATCATATTTTGGAGGATGCCATGTTTAAGCCAATAAAACGGGTAAGTTCTTTTTAATAAGTATTCTGTACACTTCACTTAGCTATCTGAAGCCCAGAGCACCTGCTAGTGCTGAAAATCTTCGATACTACGTATACCTTCAGATAGTTAGTAGTGAAGGCTAAGCTATGCTAAGACGAAACCTTTGTTATGAGTGTTAATAACCTTTGTTATGAGTGTTAATAACCTTTGTTATGAGTGTTTGTTACGTCTTCAAAAAATAATGATTGTGTCTTATACAGAGTATACGAGTACATACAATTTATATGTACTTACCACCAATGATTTAAAAGTTATTTTAAAAATAACAGAACATGCAAACGTTAGTGGTTGCATATACCTAATATTCAATATTAATTTTATGTAGCCTTTGAAAGATTTAAAATAAATTTATTGAGGAAAATAAAGTTATGATGAAAAATATAGTAAATAAGCTAAATACGAATGTTTCTTATAGCAAAAGATTTTTGAGAAAGGTAATTGAGAGAATATGCGTAGTACATTGGGAAATTATCATACAAATTTTGAATCTTATTTTAAACCCAGCATATCTAAGGGGATTTCTGTACATAATTCATATTTAGTATGCAAAAAAAGGCCAATATAAAAGCAAACAAGTAAACAATATAAAAGCTTTCACTGCATGATATTTATTGAACCAATGTAACATATTTAATTATTGAATACAGATATTTGAAAGCATCATTTTGCTTGGTCCATTATTTACGTGGTATAAATACCTTTCCACATATGAATAAAAACTGGTATTCCACAGTTTTTTTCTTTTTCTGTTATTCTGTTTGACAAAAACTATGCCTACTTAAAGTGCGGCTTTTATGAAGTGCTCTCAGAGAGTCGCTTATAAGTTACGTATATATAAAACGCAGTTCAAAATACTTTATTCAGCCAGCCATCAAGTCTCCACTTAATTCCTAAGTGTTAAATCAAGAACGAGACTTAAGTGTTTAATGATATAATCGTTGTGTCAATGCGGTAGAAAAATTCTTAGAAAAGGAACAAGATCGCAAAATAGCTTCTGCGGTTATACTTTTGGTTTGGCATCTAATCATTCTCCTATTCGACTTCGTCCTCATTATGTACAAATATACTCTAATGCCAACGTAAACACGAAGTAACAACGTAATGATTCAACGAACAGAAGATTCATTTATTTCCAAAAGCTCTTTTGAAGTCTTTCCAAAGGAAATCATTTATTTCAAGAATTGCTTTCATATTAATGGCTCTAATTGTTCAACTTCGAGCTTGAAATATCGAAACGAATCTGGGAAAAAAAATGCTTAAGAAAATCGAGAACTCTTAAAAATGAGAGAATTAATGATGTATTCAAGTAGAAAAGACTGTCTTTTAAATATTTCTTTTCGGACAAAATTGTATGAAATACATCCGCAACTTGAATTTAATTGATTAATTTCACGGTATATATCTGATGCTACCGTTCATTTGCTATATTATTTTCTCTTACAAAATAAGTCTAAAGGAGAAAAATCACTTAATCTCGGGTTTTGAAAGATTATTCTACCAAGGGAACTTTAGAACATATAGAAATTTATAGATTTAAGCATTAAATAAATAACTGTCTTCTACCAGTGCAACCAAAAACATTTACGAAAAGAAAACTAAATTATTTTTCTCAAATTTTACATAACTTATTTATTCCAGTTACTGCTTATAAGGAACTTATTTTTTAAATAATTTGTTTCGAAAGAGATCTAATGTATTACTATTATTTACTTACGTACAGAGCAGCCCCGGTATAGCGGTTAGTGGAGCCTAACTGCTATACCGAAGGGCCCAGGTTCGAATCCCGTAGAAAGAATGGATGTAAAATTGTCTGTCCCTTCATAAGAGGCAACAATGGCCGCCTTTTAGGTGCCTCCACAATAAAATGGGCACCACTTCTGATGTTAGGAGCCATTAGAGGCAAGGGCCCCCATCGGAAAATAATTAAAAAAAAAAAAAAAAAAAAAAAAACTTAGAGACTTTTTAGGGCGTTTCCAATTTCTTTTAAATGTCTTATTGAAGAAGACAGGCAAAATTCCAAATAAAATTGCTTACTAGTTACGTGGCATTGTAGAGATTAGATTTATGAAATGTTTATTGTAACTTAAGCCATTACTGCAACAACACATGTGCGATAAATGTGGATACTCTCAGAATGGACTATTCAAATTAGACTGGTACCTCAGTATACGTCATTAATCCGTTCCAGATCCCTGGACGTATACCAAGCAAACTTCTCCTATAAGAAATAAAGGAAAAATAATAAATTAGTTCTTATAAAAAATCCATTTATTATTATTAGCACTTTATAAATATTACAAATGTTAAAATATATTGTGTGGTTCCAACTTTAATATAACAGCTAAGTGGGTAGAAACCTCGTGAACTGATAAGCGAATACTCTCTTTAGTTCAGGAACGAACAGAAAAGTAACTCAAGAAGGATTAACTCCCGTTTATTCCTCAAAATAAGAATTTAACAGTCGGCTCCTTTCTCAGAGCGTACAGAAAAGCCTCCACTTGGGCTTGAACTCAAGAGTACTAAGAAATAAAACTTAACTAATGCTTAACTAAAAAGATATAGCCGAAGCTATCAAAATTCTAAGTAATTGTCCCCTAAATATTACCTAGCCTGGCGAAGCTATCAAGAACCTGAAATACGCCCGAGCGTAGTATAATAGCTTAGAGAGAGGGTAGTCAAATGGCAAACGCGCGCTAGTCAAAATCTCTGGATCTCTAATGAAGTCAGTAGAACTTCGACTTAAATACCACTCTTACTCATTTGCATTAACCACGATTCTCGAAACACATTCTGGTGGGAAACTGTAAGCTGAAAGTAGGAGAGATAGGAAAGTAGCTTTAACTAAAGATAACTGTTAAAAACTTAGGATAAACCTTACAATATTATAAATATTAAAGTATATATTAAAATACAACTGCAGTGGTAAATACTGTGCATGATATGATATGAAGCACTGTGCATGATACTATTCGTAAAATATTTTTCTGCTAACCTGATAAAAAGCAATATTTCAAAATGTTCTGATGTCTAACCCCTTCCTAATGTTAGTCGATTTAATAGGATCTTTATTTTTCACAATCGTAGACCACCGAATTCGGCATACGGTATACAATAGACAAGTCATGGATACGCAAGCCATCTTCATACTTTTCAACAATCTCTTTTTTCACCTCCATAGTGATCCTAACAATTTTCTTCATTGCTTGACTCTTCTCATTAGCTTTCCTAAAACTCATTGTTGATGAATTCATAAAAGATTTAAGCGAAAAACACAAAATCATTTGAAAATACATAGTTTAGGCTCTTTACCTGATAAACTGCAGCAGGTCTACTGACGCTCGTGGGCATTCGTAGCATAGAAAAAAGTAGTGCTCGCAGTCATCACTCATCGAACTCCAGTAGCATTTCAGGCAAATATCGCATACTAAATAAAAATCGTCACGTCCAAACAGGGTGTATTTCAAAGTTAACCGAGTTACCACAGTATATGGAATATTCCCTAATAAACATAATTTTTAGACACTGGTTGGCAATGGAAAAGAAAATTTAAATAAATCAGAAAATTTTTAAACATAACTGAATTTGCTGGTTGAAAGATGATTACCAAGATTCCTCTCGTAAAATTATTTTAATTAATTAGGAGACGCCTATATTTTATAACTAAAATTGTAACTTAATTATAATTTCTTGTATATTTACAATTGAATTAAGCGATAATAATAGAAGAAGGTTAGAAATTACTTTAAATAAGACCCTTGATTTAAACATTTATTAATTTAAAAGCAATGGTGTCCAATTATCATTTGTAGTTGATTCAATTCATCGTATTTTGTGGAATTTGGTTTCATCCTCTTAAGACAAGTTTCTCGCCATTCTTTTCATAGGAAATTAAGTGTGTAATCCTCATAATTCTAGTCGTTGTTTTCATGGCCAGCTCTGCATACTAGAGACATTTGTTCTAATGTCTTCATTACCTCCAGGAACAACTTATTAATCGTAAGTTCTTTTACGGATGACTTGCATAAAACTTTAAATCTCATGTTTTTACTAAAAGTTATCACGTGACCTACTAAAAGTTATCAAGTCACCGTAATCTGAAAGCCTGCTTTTATTTCATTAATTTATTAAAATGAGACCAAGGATATATGATCAAATGATCAAGAGACATTTAGTCGTGTAGTATGCTCGCAAAATCCTGTTTAGCAGATAATAGGTAAACAGTATTTTCAGTTTTAATTAAGACAGGTAAAGGTAAAATATTTCTAGGTCGAAGACATGCTTATAGATTAGTCATGTATAATACAGTGTTTTGATACATCTGTCAAGCAACTTATTTTCTGTTGTAGCCTCGTCGATACAGTCGGTCTCAGTTTTATGACAGCGGACCAAAGCACCCACCCTTCCACCATCACATGCGTCTGCAAATTCGAAGATTGGTAAGCGAGAGCAGAAGACGCAGAAAAAAGAGTAGACTTCAGCCTCCTAATGGTTGCCCCGTTAACGGAAGCAAAATGCCAATAAGTACCATCTATCTCAATTCAGGTAAGTAACAATATAATTATCACCGTATAATTTTTTAACAGTAACGGAAGGAAGTGGAGATTTTATAACGTTAGTGTTCTTGCAAATGCACTGTTATTCAAAGAGAATGAAATTATTTTACACATTTGACACAAAATAGGTATTTATGACAGAGGAACAACTAAGGTATCTAGGAGCAGAACAAAATAACAAAATTTTATTTAACCCCAAAGATTTCCAAATTTCTTGTTTGGTCCATTCTATAATCAAGCTACGCGGTGCAGAACGTCCATGTCGATGGTTTCAGCGAATGTCCGAATAAACTGCCTTAAATCTGTAAGATCTTAACGTAAACCTACAGAAAGTACATACAGCAGATTAAAAACTACATTTATAGTAAAGTTCAAGAAAAAGTTAAAAAGAAAACAGATTGGCATATACAAAATGCTGAAGAACTCTGCAGTTTTTAAATACATTTAAATACAGATCTGAAGTGGTTGTTCCTTCAACGAAAGCACATTTACTGGTATCTTATTCGCGAATTTGACTAAAAATGAGAGACAAATGCTTTAGTTTATAGTTAACCTTTTGAAGAGAGATAGCTAATTAACTAATTACGTGAAATCCTTCTATGGGTATCTGCTTAGGGAAGGGGTGCTAAGGACCTCATAACGGAACTGCCTCGTATTTAAAGGAAAATCACGAAAACATCCAGGCAGTCAAGCCATTCTGTCACCATGATTCAAATACAGGACGAAATTGGTCATTGGTTATATTAATTTTATGGCAAAAAGTGTTCAGGGTTTTCTGCCTATGAGCCAGACATCTTCGTGGGAGGCTTTCTAAGGGATATTGACTTCCATATACAGTATATCTACAAGATATACGTATATACAAGAAAATCTCTAAAACCCTGAGCAGCCAGCTCGTTCATCCGTAAAGAATTGAAACCAGAACGAACTTTCGATGTTCTGACGCTTCCGACACTAATCAACCTTTATGTATTGAGAAAGGCTTTTTTTTTAATTAGCAAAATTTTAAATTTATTATTATTTTTTTAGCTTCGAAAATTTCTTGGGATTTCCTAAGCAATATATAACTTATACAATTTTTGAATGGAAAGTCTTTTTCGCTTACATTAAAATTTAAAGGAAATTTGCAGTGTAATAATGTTACATGTACATATGTTGTGCGTTGCATGTACATGTATGATACGTGCATCAATTTTTTGTGCCAACATTTATTCATGTATTTATTTATCTACTTAATTTACATCTATTTCTCTGTTCACCAACATTTAAACTCACTCGGTACCCATTCCATCTGCGAAGAAGTGCTTATTTCTAATATTCATTTGGCCAGCCAGTGGCCGAGCGGTAAAGTCGCTGAACACTGGTAGTTCGGTCCGAGGTTCTAATCCCCCGAACGCGCTGGCTGCGTGGGCGTTTCTGTGTTTTTCCCCATGTGTAGCGTGTATACGAGCCAGTTTCCCTTAGAAAGCCCTCCACGAAGGCATCCCTCCCTTTAGGCAGATAGCCCTCGAGGCTTTGCCATAATCACATACACTAATATTCTTTTTATTCCGCGTGTTTTGACATTACTATAACGAAAGTGGATTTTAGCTGCAAAACTACATGAAATTTGCAAGAAATATTTTGTTTTTGAGAAGTATTAAAAAATTCACTAGTCTAAGACATATCCAATAGTTACAGACAGAAATAGCAAATTTTAAAACAAATATCTAAGAAACGATGAAATTTAATAACAAAATGGTATTACATCATCTACAAATATTGACATTCGAGGTATCAGCAGTTGTTAAGCTATAAACTGGAAGTGATTTCATTAAATAAATAAATCTTTGATGAGAGATGAGATTTCTCTGCACTGCATTTTTGAACAGCTGTTTTTCTTATCAATGTTTGATAATTGGATTTTTTGTGTAATTTGTGGGGTTCAACTTAAATTTGTTTGTTTTTAATTTCCTATTTTTCTCTTTCCTTTCCAGGACCTAATCATCCCCGAGTGACCGTGACATCAGCTGGTCAGGAAGAAAACGAAGACGAAGGAATAATATTTACGGCTAAGAGCAACAGTCTTGCAGGTTAGAGTGCTGTAAAGTAAACTTTGGAGTACTTTTCAAAATGTTTATTATTTGCTGATTAAAAATAAAAAAAGTGTAATAGTCCTGTAAGAATTATGTTAATTTTATTAACAGTTAAATTTTAAATTAAAGTTCCTTTCCTGTCAAATTCTTAACTTCAACTTGCTACTTCTGGCCAGAACGTAGTTTTGGAATCACTCTGAATACTTAATGAGGAGGAGTGATATTTAAACCGCGAAGTTCTACTTGCCGAGTTGGAGAGAATCAGAGGTTCTGATTTGCACGCGTCTGCCTTTGGCTACTCTCTCTCAAAGCTGTTATTACGCTCGGCGTATCAGGCCTTGTAAGCTCGTAGTTCAATAGAGTTAAGGGACCAACTCGATTAGAACTTGATAGTCGGCTATATCTCTTAGTTAATCTTAGTTTTAGTTTATTTCTTAGTCTCTTAAGTTCAGCCAATATCGGCTTTTATTGTACACTCCAAGACGGAGTTTTGTTAAATCTTATAGGAATAATAAAGGGTTAGTTACCCTTCCATCTTGTTGTTTCTTGTCACACGAACTTAAGCGATTATTCGCTAACTAGTTCTTAAGGTTACTCAGTGTTGACTGCAATTACACAGTGGTAAACCTCACAGTCCTATAACTAAGGATGACAATTTGTAATACTAATACAAATAGTTTCGTTCAATAATAGCATAATATAGTGAAATTCGATTAAATGGAACATGGCTCAAAATTTCTAGAAAATGCATACGTTTTATCAAGTATTATACCCCGTTTCATCCAATGAAGACTGTATTGTTCATTACAGTGTCCCGAACAATTTTATTTTTCCTTTTGAATTAAAATTACAACAGATTTATTAATGTTAACAGTAATTTCCTATTTGTTTAAACAGTAAATGGATGGTAGCTAGTAATGTGCTTTTGCAATAATTGTATGTACGGATTAAATGAAATATCAGTTACTGTTAGTAGAATAACTAACATTAATCAAATGTTTGCACAGATTTGAAAAATTATTTTTCGAGTTTCTTTTCCGAATTAATTTTATCCTATATATTTTACCTCTTAGACGTCCTTGAAGTTTCTACTAAGGCAGTTCCAGCACTAGTCATTTTTTAGGGTATAACAAAATAAAAAATTTGTTTGAAAGTTTTGAAAAACCTCCATGGTATATAAAATGCATTCAGATACGAAACTCTTGTTTCTTAAATGAAGAGTGATGTATTTCGAGAAAAATTTTGACGAGAAAAAAATTTTTACTGTGTAGAGTTATTAGGTTATTTTGAGACAGGGGATGTGGAAAACGTGCATATCCTTCACCGGCAGACTCAAGCCTGGACTACTCGAACATGCGTCGAGTATGCTTCCAATTACGCCACGAAGGCACGAGCAAATGAGAGAGAAAATACCTTATAGCTGCTACTGGAATTTCCATTCATTTTTCACGGAGTTTCTAATTTAAATTATTCACGGAAGACAATTAGATAGATATTCGAAATATGAACATTCTAAATGTGTTGGCAGAAATTTTGCTGTAATTTTTACTTTACTCACCAATCTATGTCATATTAGCTGAAATTTTATAAACAATGGCTTAAATTCCATAGTTTATTAATTACCTTTTATTTTTATACAAATTAAATGGTTTCTAAACTAATTTTACTCAAGAAGCTAAATTTACTTGTAATGATCATTTTTGGAATGTTGACGTAAATGTTGCATGAAGAAGTAAATGCATACTAAAGTTTTCAGACGTCAAAGTTACTGAAACCTATTTAGTTGATTAATAGCACAAAAAGCAGCATATGCACAACAGATTTCATATATTTATATAAATGCAAATAACGTCAGAACAGAAGGGGAGGACATGGCATTAGCTAGATAGCGGCAAGAGTGATAACAGTGTGCATATTACAATATGGAAATTCAAAATTCCATAAATCCCGTATATATTAATCATGTGTGTGTATATTAACCCCATGTTCGCGTGTATATTAACCCCGTGTTCAAAATTCCGTGTATATTACAATATGGAAGTGTGTATATTACAATATGGAAGTTACAATATTTAAGACTACGGATGGCAAAGTTAGGTTCCGCTTGATTTCCAATTGTTATTTATTACAATTTGAACATAACAATTGGTTTGCAAAATTTAATATTATTTATTGGCAAAAAGACTGTTTTATTTTTGCCATACATGCCTCATGAGCATTATAGCATAAAAATCATATCAGCATATAACTTTGAAATAACGCACTTCAGAGAGATTTATCATTAACCTCACACTACTTTTGGGATACTATATAGAAACAATCAAACTAAAAAGGAGGCCTTAAGGGTTTATTGCAGATTGAAGTTAGAACTTTACACACACACGTATACGTACATATATATATCTATAGTATTTATTTGTATATACTCTTACAACTCACTCTCTATCTATCTATGTATCTATACATATATAGTTTTATATTATCTTAATAAGCTATACATCTACTCGCACACATATACAAATTACTATATTTCTGTTATGGGCAAATAACAAAGTCAAGGAAAGGGTTATTGCAAATTGAAGTTAGAATTTGATCTTACACACACATACATACATACAAACATAGTATACAAACCATACATATGCATATAACATACAAATATTTATAGGTACATACAAATATTTATAGGATTTATTTTTATATACTATTTACATCTCTCTGTCTATAGAGTTTTACATTATTTTAATAAGCTATACATCTATAGGTATACGTATATAAATTACTATATTTCTGTTATGGACGAATAACAATGTTAAGGAAAGCATGCTTGACATACTGGAAGTCTGTTAATGACATACTGATATAGTGTATTTTTAAAGAATAATTTTATTATTAATTCTTGCGTATTCCTCATAATTTAATCTATCTATAATATAGAATAAATTAAAACTTTCTTATCAAAACCATTTCCAATTCAAACGATGTAAGACTGAAAAGAGAAAATTTAAAAATTTCTCTTTTAATTGCTTAACTTCCATGTAACAATTGAGTTACAGCTTTGTATCTCTCTGAGCTGTGTTTAATTCTCATTTAATTGCACCAGCTTCAGACTTCAGTAACAGAGATGCTTAATGAAAGATAACGTTTTAGTATGCCAATTTAGTGCTATCATAATAATTTACGAATAACTTACCGATGGCATTCTAAATTCCTAATACAGATAATCTGCGATACTGTTATCCGCAACATTGTTATTTGTGAACTGATTGGGTATTCATGTCAAAGAGGATAAGAAGTCATTGGCCCTTGTACAATTTCCTAAACCAAATTAATAATTTCTCAAATCTTACTTTGCTTCTGAGTTTAACCACTTTAATCGAACAAAACTCAGAGTGATTCCGCGAGCTAATGCAAACCGATATGAACACATGAAAACTAACTAGGAATTCCAGTAGAAAAAAAAAACGAGTTTTCTGCAATATATCATATGCAAATAATTCCCAATCCTTAAGAAAATGCCATAATTCTAAACTTCAAGAACACAGATAAAATTTCGATGACAAAGATAAAAATTAGTTCTAATTAAAAGATCTGCGTTCTTCTGTTCTTTCTGGATAAAAGAAAATACACCTTTTTTTATAAATATTCAGTATATCATTCTGAATTATACATATATTTATATATTATAAAATTATGTAAATTAAAAAAAGCATTTCTAACGTACTTAAATCTGACAGTGAAAACTGAAATCTGCAATGAATCTGATAACTATCATAAGCTGATTATTTAATGCTACACAAAAAACATATGATATTGTGACATATATATTAATTAACATAAGACAGAAACTATAAGACCATATTTTTTAGTTTTCTGTATTAGTATAAGACAGAAAACTAAAACATTATATTCGTAACTCCACGAACGATCGATTGCATTAAATATAAACTGAATCAGAAATTTTTCTATGCCAGATTTTAAATGGCCATACTTAAAGTACATTGTTGATGAACTGGTTCTTTAGCAGAGCATAGACTTCATTCAAATTTACGTATTCTGCATTACAAGATGATTATTCGAAGACTAATAACATAAGGAAGAAAGCACGACAAAGGTTGGAAAAGATTTCAGCAAATGTAGCAGTTAGATGTAGTGTTTAATAAGATCCAGGTACCTTTTAATTGGGATAGCAGTATCCTTTAGTTTCAGACGTTAATCTTTATCATAATAGCATCCGACCAAATCCCAGCAGAAAGGAAGTATACATTGCCTCGACACATGTCAAGCCACTTAAAGATAAATGTGTCAAGTATTGCTACTAATATGCACATACTTACAAAGGCATTTTTAGCAGCATCTAAAGGTAATTTAGTGATCGCATTAAAATTGTGGTTTTTAATAAAACTCAGAAACAAAATAATGGAGAATTCTTTTGTTAACATTATTAAACTTTTTCTGCTCATCTAGATGTCTAGAACCCAACGATGACAGAAACATTTTACATTCTAGATGCCTAAAACCTAAAAGCTAACCTTAGCCATTTAAGTGATTCGGTGAGACAAGAATGAAGAACTTGCCTATAATTAAATAAATAGCAATGACTAGGAATATATATTGTAACTTAAATTAAAATAATGCTTTTGAAGATTTTTTTAACATGCAAATAAAGATGTAACTGGCTTACAGCCTCTTATAATTTAAAGATCTCGTTCAAATAGACGCCTGCAATTCTTTCATCTTTTTAATTTAATTCTGGACACAGAATTTCCGATCGAGACTTACTCGCAATGTAGGTAAAATCTCCCAGTATTCACGAGCACTTTCATGAACAGTCACTATTCTCGCTAAGATATTATATAAGCCGCAATTAAGAAATTATGGATTTAATCGTACTGTCGAGTTACATAAACTTACAAACTGGATGAATTATTGCAAATGAAGTCAAGAACCTGAATCTGCAACCTGAATCTGATTCTGACTCCGATTTTATCCCTTCATAATTCTTATTATCCTCTGCGATTTTTCTATTGCGATTTTTTAATAAATATGATTTCATTATCACTTTGCAGCTCTGATGCTTCTTTTTATTGCCGTAGTTTTCTTTTCCGATCTGAGAACCACTAAGTCTTTTTCCTGGCAATGGCATGGCCTAAATAAAAAATTAATTTTTATTACATTAATTAAGATATTACAAGAACAATAAATGAAATTTAAAACATCACAACAACAATAAATTTAAAAGGACAACTTACGTTAATGCAAATTATAGAATAACTATATAGAAATAAAATTTGAATATTGTCTAAACACAATTTTATTCATACCCTGTTCACTGAATAATAGAATCGTCGAGCGAATGTTAAAAAGAAAGAAGAAATATGTCAATGTAAAACTTTAAGCCGTCAAAAATACAACGTAGTTATCACAACTTAATTTTCACAATGTGCTTAAAATCTCCGTTTGAAAGATTTAGAAAACTAATTTTCTTACATAATTTGTTGTTCACCTTATTTTGTAACGTGAAAGCTTATTTAAAATTTTAATAAATCTTTGCTGAAAACTGATTTTTTTCATTATATTCCAGAAACGGAGGAGCCACCTGTTCGCACACTGACTGAGACAGTCTTGCCTTGGAAACGAGAGAATGATATGGCAGACTGCGACCCAGCAAGACCCCAAGAAGAATTCCCTACGTGGGTAAACAACCGGGAATATTATCCGGGCTATATGTCACCAACACATACCTTTCTCGAAAGTTTGTGTGATCGTGAACCTAATGGAGTACATACTATCTATGAATCCCTAGAAGAAAATGACGACTGTTTTGAGGATGACACTAAAACGTCGCCGACTTCTGTGGGAGAAATCGAACAAAAGAAAAACGATCAACGTCAAGTTACCATTGAGGAAAATGCTCCTGTTGTCCAGTATCAACCAAGTAGTCCAGCTAGTATCCAGGAAAGACGACAGTACTTTCGCAACTCTTCTGCATTCCGAAGATCACCAGACAGATTCTCACTGAACAGTTCCCTGTCTGAAGATACTTCAAGACCTGGGTCATCAGACATCATAAGTATAGAATGCCCTGATGTTGCTTTGGATCTAGAAAATGAAACAGATACTAAACTGTAGTATCATTTTAAATGTATCTTGAAATGGTAACATATCAGTTCAAACTGATATTAAATTTTTTGTTGTGATTTTGTAAAAAATGTCACAAGCCCTTCATGTGTTTCCCAAATGCTGCATGAGTATGCATTTTTAAGAGAAACTTAAACTATATTATAAGACAGTTCGGTCATTGCAATCACAAATTGAAACTGATTGTCATCAAAAGTTGTTTAAGATTATCTGAACGAGCAGTGTAAATTATGATAAAAAACCTTTTTCGCATTCTGACATGCAGCGGATTAGTCGTTTTTCATTTTTTTTTTTTTTTTTTTTTTAAATATTTATTGCAAAGACACAAAATGATCTCTCATCAACCAGTTAGGAGGGAAATTATTACTACAATAAATTTTAAAAAGTCTTCCATGTACTTACATACAATGCTTTTTCATTTTAAGAATGAATGTCCATTCATTTTAATGAAATTTATTAAATTAAAAATAGCTAAAAGAGTACAGAGACAACTAATGAAGGATAAGTTCAAGCTATTTTAGCTAGAGTCAGCTATTTAACTTAGCAAGTTTCTTCAAATGTTGATATTCTTTTTTCTGATCTAGGGGAATGATTGCATATTGTTCTGTAATTAAATCTCATACCAAAACAGAAGGTAAATAGAAAATATATGATATTTTTACTTGAAATTGGTGTACAAAACAAAATTTCAGTGTTCATTAAATAAACAAAAGAAGTGTTCGTAGATTTAAATGGTATCTTATGGGACATTTTGCTGGTTAGAGTGAGAAACATAACGAATGACTTAAAAAGCGACCGGTTGCAAATTATATTATTCGTTTTCTCATTTTTGTTTGTCATTTATTATGTTATCAAGCACACTTTTTTCTGGACTTCGTAAACTTTAACACGAACCTGATGTAGGAAATTACGGCATGTGTATTACAGTATTTTTACTTAAAGGAATTTACATTAAGGTAAACTTTTGGTTTCGATTTTCATTTAGTCCACATACACTAGAGCTTATACCAAAAATGACATGACGAATTACTTCCTTATAAATAACTGAATATAGAAATGATAAAGAATTATTTTCATAAAAACGTAAACGTTTCGTCGAATTTAGATTATAATATAATAGTTGATTTAAGAGCTCTGTCTTAAATTCTGAGGTTCCTATTGAACTAAGACAAAAGAGGCAATCAAGTTCTCTAAAAACAGAAACAAAAGCACATTGTGCAGTAATTAATGAAAGATTTAGTTTATCGTACGGAATTTGCAATTCGTAGATTGTTCTGATTTCCAGACATTCCATAACACTTCTTGTTTTGGAAGCTTTACGGAGTTGTAAATTAGAGTAGATGAAATTGCTAAAAACAGTATTATCAGAATAACCCCCTTTTCAAGTGGGGTAAAAAATATTTTTATATGAAATGCAACATAGATCACTGTTGACAATTTCAATTTCGCCATTAGTACTGAGAATATAATCGGACTGTGAATCATCCAAATAAAATATCCTATAATATTTTTTAATGGCTACTTTCTAAAAATACTATTTATTGCTTATTGAACCGAATGTAGACTTTCCTGGAGAAAGAATTTCATATATTTTTCTGAAATACTTCAGTCCTGATACGCATCTACTTCATGTTCATCTCTCTCTGAATGTGACTTTTTTATCTTATTCGTGGGTTTAATCTACTATATAATTGTTATGCAGTATCTTTGTTAACTGAAAGCGAAAGAGGAAATAGTACTAAAGTTTTAATTCGTTGTTTTTAATGAAAGACTTTCCTGGAGAAAGACTTTCATACATATTTTCTGAAATATTTTCAATCCTGATATGCATCTATTTCATGTTATCTGCTTCATGTTCATTCCTCTCTGAATGTAATCTTTTATCTTATTTGTGGGTTTAATCTTTATAACTGTTATACAGTATCTTTGTTAATTAAATGTGAAAATAAAAGTAAAAGAGGAAATGTTATCAAAGTTTTAATTCGTTGTTTGATCTGAAGTTCCTATTAAATATTATAATTATTTGTAGTTTGTTGGATAAAAATTAAGTTATCTTGAAAACTCATATTCTTTTATTACGTATTGATGAGAAGTTAGTTTCAAATGTAGTTTATGTAAACTTACGTTGTGATGTTGTTACTGTAAATTAATTTACGTTTTAATTCCAAATTTGTTATCCTAATGTTATTTTACAAAAATTGTTTTGCATTCAAATGTTTTAAGGATAAAAAAAAATAAAGAAAACTTTTGTACAAATACGAGCAATTATCTGAATTTTTCCACAGTCTTTTATTACATTTATTTTGCCTTGTGAGATAATAAAACTTGAAGTAATAAAAATTAGCATACTAGAACAAAATGAGTACATAGCTCAACCTATATATTGCTAAATCAACAAATGTTACAACAACTCACAGAGCATTCAATTAAAATCATTCGTGATAATTACAATAAATTGGAGAAACTGTTTGAATAAATACTGTAAATAATATGTAATGATTATATGTAACGAAAACTATGCATCTAAATGTTTTGCATTTACAAATTAAAATGGAATTAAAGTATTTAATTAAAAATAATAATGAACACTGAATTTTCATTGATAAAAGTATAATATTTAAATTTGGACAAAGTTCACATTCAAAACGAAGTCGACTTATGGAAGAACTTTGATATTTACCAAGAAGATGTGCATGGAAATCGCAGTTCGTTAAGAAGCAAAAGTATTCTCCTCTGTAGGTTCTGAATGCATATATGTCATATTAATGGACGGAATAAATATAAAGAAATAAATAATAAAGAAAATAACAAAAATAGTGCCAGTTGTGAAGTAAAATAGATATCAAAGTAATCAAAATAATGATATTTCTAAGAACTTTAATAAAATCTAGACTGCCATTGAAACCATTAAAGTCAGATTTTGATGAGGCAGAAACTTTCCAAGAAAACCTAGTTTACCAACTTTACAGAACTCTTTTGGATAACTTAACTTCTGGAGCTAAAGTTAACAGAAAAATTAAGGGATAAACAATGACTAGCTATAGCATATTTATTTACTTATTTTATTATTTAACCGACAGAAATCTATTCTGACATACAGTTCATGTTAATCTCAAATTTCTAACTGCATTTCTCTTTATGTATGAGCATAAAATCTCAATCACATTATGTTTCGGCTACGCGGTACTTGACGTCGAAAGGGACAACTCTCAGAACCCGCACAATTCCAGGGAACCCACGTAGCTAGGTTACCATTTTCACTTACTACAAAGACTTGAACGCCAAACACTAATCGATTATCACTCAGATTGGAATCACGTGATGCTTCGGAAGCAAAACTTTCGTCTAATTGGCTGTCTCTACCCGGGACAGAGGTCAGGTCGAGACATTTTCCGTGAGGTTTGAAAAAAATCCCGCTTAGCCGCAACATCGTTTCCGTAGTTAGGCGGGACTTCCGCTTCAGGCGGGGCTCTTTTTTCTAGAAATCTTTCCGTTTAAAATTAGTGCTACCAGAATCTCGTTTCTCAGAAAAGTCCCGTCTAGCAGGTACTGTAGCCATTGGTGATAGATAACCTTTTAATATTGACAAAGAAAATACGGCCAAAGTGTTCGAGTGAATAGACTCCGAATATTGGTAAAACGACATTCCAAATTGGCATCGAGTTTTCACGGCTTTTCTTAAGTGTACCGTGATTGTAAGCTAGTTTGCAATATAAAGTCCCCCAAGACGACATTTCCTTCCTTCGGCAAACAGCTCTTGCGTGCTTTGCAAGAGTTATCTGCTGAAGTCTGCTTTCAACTAACCAGCCAAACACAGAAATTACATCCCGAATATTTTCCCCTCGTTTGTAGTTAAATATGTAAATGCAGAAAACGATATTTCGTCTTGCAAGATGCCGCTCTCGATCAAGCTGAACAATGTTCGCTTACAGAATGTGATCTTTAGCGACGAATTAAGCCTTTCTCTCAATACTGATGATCGCCGCATACGTGTCTGAAGACGGATTGGTGAGCGGCCAGTGTAATAGCATTTGTTACCGAGAAACATACAGCCTGAACATAGGATGTGACAGTCTGCGGAGCGATCAGTTCGGACAGACGTTCGCCATTAGGTCGGGTTACGAAGTACTCTAATTGATCGCATATGCTTTTAGGTGAATATAATTTTTGCAACAGAATTTATTTCGTCATCGTTTTTTTTTTTTTTTTTTTTTTAATGTAAATTGTAAATTTCTTAAATGAATTGTTTAAATTCTAATGATTCACCAGTTCTCGTTTTATTAATTAATCTTCTTTCTGTTTCTTTCCAAGTTGTAAACGATTTTCAATCATTTTGACTTCTTTCATGGCTAATCAATTTATTTTTTTCCCGCTTTATTAAAGCCAGATGTAGTTACGAAAGATAATTGTATAGCGGAATTTGATGTAATAAACAGCAAGCAACAAAAGCAGTATGCTGCATTATGTTTTGGAGAATATAATAATCGTAATTTTAGTTCCTTCTTCATTAACGACCCATCGAGAAAAACCAAGATTTTGGCATTAGACCATTCGCATTAGACCATGAAATATGCAGGATCCACGTATAAACTTTTCTGTGCAAAGTTGGTTTGTTATTGTTGGAAGATTATTACTAAATTTTAAGTAAGCAGCATGTTTGACCTCCAGAATGTCCGGAATTATAGTGAGTGTTTCTGTTGCATTTTCTATACTTTTTTTATTAGATATAGGCATGGATTTGGAACTTCTGATGTACTTGGGCCTCCATCTTCATCATCTTCAGAGTCTTGTATTTGTTGTGATGTGTTATTTCATAAAAGTTTACCAGCAGTAGGCGTACAACCTGAATCTGATTCTGACTCCGATTTTATCGCTTCATAATTCTTATTATCCTCTGCGATTTTTCTATTGCGATTTTTTAATAAATATGATTTTATTATTACTTTGCAGTTCTGATGCTTCTTTTTCTTGCTGTAGTTTTCTTTTCCGATCTGAGAACCACTAAGTCTTTTTCCTGGCAATGGCATGGCCTAAATAAAAAATTAATTTTTATTACATTAATTAAGATATTACAAGAACAATAAATGAAATTTAAAACATTACAACAACAATAAATAAAATTTAAAAGGACAACTTACGTTAATGCAAATTATAGAATAACTATATAGAAATAAAATTTGAATATTGTCTAAACACAATTTTATTCATACCCTGTTCACTGAATAATAGAATCGTCGAGCGAATGTTAAAAAGTAAAATTCACAACAAGCATATCTATAGTTATAGTTCGGCCGCTGAATCAATAATAGCTCAGGGTAGAAGGGCTTATAACGTAAAATAAGACTGTAGTGTATTGCTTATTATCGTTTTGAAATAACAAATGTTAGCTGTATGCGTATTTTGTTTAAATATATATATATATATATAATCACTATTTTAGAAAAATAAAGTGTTCAGAAAGAAAGAAGAAAGAACGTTTTGTATACGAAGATATTTGATTGATTTACAGCAAACATTATTTAAAACATATCTTATGAGACAATTCAAGAAACGAAATAATTAATGATACAGGATGATTATAATTAAAGTTTCACTTTGAAATGGCCATAAAAGGAAAACTACGGGACCAAATGCTATCAAACTTGGTAATCGTATAAAGGAGGTCATGGGAATTTATTTTCCGCAAAAAAAAGTTTAAAAACTCACCACCAGGGGGGAAATGGGGCTGTATGCAATATTGTTAAACGAAATAATGGTCGGAATCTAACTTAACCTTTTGTTATGCGGGTTTAACATAGTGTATAGCCTTAAGAAACATTGACCTAAACAAAACTATCATTTAAAGGCGATAAAAGTCGAGTGCTCCATCGTGTAACGGAGAAATCCATCCGTGAAAACCATAAATTAGAGATCAAAAAATGCGAGATCATAAATCACTCGCAAAAGTCTGCGCATTCCGGAAATTCTTACGAATCGCTCATGTTATCTAACGAGTTCCATTGCATTCTCCTAAAGTCACCGTTTGGTGTGGTATGACAGCTAGTTTTATAATTGGACCATTTTTCTTTGAAGAGCAGTCGACAGCTGGACCTGTAACATGCACTGTGACTGCAGCTCCTTTATCGTCTATGTTAAGACGTTTCGTGATACCTGAACTGCAGTAGCGTGGGATTTTAGATACCACGATTTTTATGGAGGACGGGGCTCCACAGCACATTGGTACATGTGTCACACATTTCACGAATGAGCGGATTCCCCTCTTCCCCACTTCTTAGCCACCCCGGTGACCCTTTGATTTCAAACCCCTGTGACTTTTGGTTATGGGGTTATCTCAAAAGCATTGTTTATGGTGATAATCTAAACAATTTCGTGGAGTTGAAAAATGCGATACACCGACATGTCCGTAACATTTCCTCCTGATATGCTAAGAGCTGCTGTTGAGAATACAGTAACACGATTTAACTTGCTCTTGAAAAATGGTGGACGCCACCTTGAACATGCTTTGTAACATGTTTCAGAAACGATTAAACACGTTTTAAACCGACGTCTTCATGTCTTATTTCGTTCAACAATATTGCATACAGGGCTATCCCCCCCTCTGGTGGTGAGTTTTATTCAACTTTTTTTTTCGCGGAAAATAAATCCCATGACCTCCTTTATGCGGTTACCAAGTTTGATAACATTTGGTCCAATAGCTTTCCTTTTATGACCATTTCAAAGTGGAACTTTAATTATAACCACCCTGTATAACAATAATTATTAATTTAAAATATATTTCCTAGATATCGATCAGAATAAAAATTGAAATGTTCTGGAAAATCATGTTTGTCTTGGGGACCATTTGGCGCCCCTCTGCATGATAGACCCCCTTACTCTCCCTCTAGCTACGCCACTGCAAGGAAACAGAAGTGCAGATGGAAAAAAATAAGAGCGATAAAGGCTGTAGAATTTTATAAGACGAAGGCACTGTAGTAGAAAAGACTCAACAGAAGCCCACAGAAGACATAAAGACGAAAGTAAAGGATAAACTAAATAACAAGATAACCATGATGGGGCACTAAAATTCGTATATGAGTTCCTAGATTGCAGGGATGAATAAACCGAGGTTGAATTTAATGCCATTTTACTTTTGCGCAGAGTTGCTACATTGATTCAATTATATGACCGTAAAGAAAGGCATATATGTTTTCACAGATCAGTGTTGAAAATATACAACAGCCGGTGTTACGCTTGCTGCTCAGGGCTTATAGAACGTTTTCGCTCCTAAATTTTGCCGCCCAGTCTCGTCGCACCGGCTCTGGGGCCAACCCAAAATATACATTAATTTTATCATTTAATTTCATCCTAAAGATATTTTATATGATATATTTATATTAAACGCAATTTCCATCATTATACATTCTTCTATATCAATTAGATTCCGATTTTTTTATAAAAGCAAAATTATTAGCAAAAATTCCTGTGGTTGATAACTATCAGAGCAATGCATGTTGGCACCTGTTTACGGACGGCGTCCGCATGCAGTGCAGGTCTTACAACCCGCTTCCGCCGGCCCTGATTCCTAGTGTTGCAAATGCTCACAAAAAGTAGAGTTATGAGGAATAATTTTTGCGATATATCGAGGGAAGAGGGTACCAGTTTGGGAAAAGGGGAAAAAAATTAAAATTATTAAAATTTACTTCCAGTAAAATAATTGCATGAACAAAAAGAAAAAAATGGCCCACATTTACTAATTAAAAAACAACCTTGCAACCAGCCCGTTCACCTGCGTTTGAACTCAAGAACTCCCAAACATTATGCGATCTTAACCACTCGGCAACAGGTGATCCGATAAGAAATACCCTGAAAGTTTTAAGGACTTTTCAAGATTAAGTTAGTGCATGATGTTTTCTGGCGAGCAATTCTAAGCAGGTACTGTATATGCTTGGTTAGAATTGCCTCAAAAAAGATTCTGGTTTGAGGAGTCGGTGCTTGCTAAATGGCAGCAAGTGTCTTAATGTAGATGAGGAATGCACCCGCGAATGGAAACGACGTAAGCATCAAGATAAACGTTTTGTTGCTACTTCTCACGTTCTAAATGGATAAGAGTCATAGTATGGGATGGGATCTCATACGATGCCTGATGATCACCACTAGGCTCAATGGTGCGTTGATGAGGTTCTTCGACCATTGGCCTTGCCATTTGCGCACACACGTTCCACTGTTTTATTTCACCAGGACAACGCTCGTTCTCATACTGTTGGTATCTTAACGTTTGCCTTGCCACTACGGATAACCTGCCGTGTCCAGTCGCATCGTGAAACTTGCCTCCAACAGAAAATCTCTGTCAATAACCCACCGGACCGCTGCTACAAAATCTGCAGAAGTCAAGACAGGAGTCCAATTTGCATGAGACAAGCGAAAAAAGAACTATATTAGGGAAATTTATAACTCCATGGCGCGATGTATGACTGGAATCATTAGACATGATGGCGGCCTAATGTTCTGTTGAGAGTTTTGACTGTTTTGTAAGCTGTGCAATAAATATTTGTCCTACTACTCTCATTTTTAACATGTTATCTTTGATAACTATTAAACACTCTTACTTCTGTAATACGAAACTCTTCATTATGTACTGGAAAAGAAAATCATTTGTCCTGTACCACTTACGTACTCTCAGCTTGTCAACTGTCAAAATTTTTTTTATTGCCATGTCAAAATTATTTTTATTGCAATAAAATCCTGATGCAATTTAGCATCTGATTTGTTGCAATAAACTCCTGTTAACCTCTGACGTAGATGTCAGGAGTCTCTGCTCTCCATCATCTGTCGGTGACTACTAACTTCTTTTCCCGTAATATATAAATCCGATAATATTTCTTATATTAAGTGAAACTTTTTTGGGGACGATGCGGCCACTTGTATAAACGAAAGTAAAGTTCAAAAAATGAAGCACAGATGGCAGTACCTTACTTTGGGCACTGACAAACAGCACATAAATTAAGTGATTTTCGGAAAACTAGTATTAACTATTTATCTGTTTATTTTACTGAAGCTTATTATTTAGTCGAAAGCTTATTATTTATTTTAATGATAAGACTAAATAAAATTAAGCATAATCAAAACTGGCTAGACTGATAAAGAAGCAAAGCTAATTTTAATATGTTTTTTGACAGATTTCACGAGTCGGTTTACCTTTCAGCTACTGCGTTTAAAGGACTCAGAAATTTATTTTGTTCTCTTTCGAGAAAATATTCTCCCATAACACTTCTCACGAAAATCCATCAGAAATTGCCATAAAACAGAAGGTGGTTTATTCAAAGTGTTCGAAAAAAGTAAATGTAGGTTTTAGTTTCTTAAACAGTTCTCGGAGATATCTATGCATCCAATTGTAAAGTTTAAAAAATAATATGCAGAATTTTTTTAAACTGTCTGAGCACAATTAATGAAACTGTTCTAGATATACTAAAAACTCATTTTTTAATATGGCAAACGTATTGCAAAAGTTCCAAATAGCTAAGTATAAAAGGTTTCATACCTTTATACGCAAAATATTTTATTCAAATAGATAACATGTAGATTTTTTTAAAATATTAAACTATTAAAACTTTTATGTCTCGACTTATAAAATCTAAGTCACGTTAGACGAAAAGGTTTATATCTTGTATTATATCCACTAGATGGCACCAGCAGTTAGAATCATATACTCTAGGATAGCTTTAACTGACTTTTTTTTCAGTAGCCTTCGCCTATTTTCTATGTTTGTGTGATGCGTTTACGTAATATTGTCAGTCAGGTGTGTTGTTGACAAGTGTAAAAATGCAAATTGAATGCAATAGCTTCCGACTATATTCATTATTTTGTTTAAACATATACTTTCACGAGTATTTTTAGAATAAAGTTATGAGTAAAATATTCACTGAAGAATTTATGATTTGTGGAAAAAGTGCGTAAAAGTAATAATGGCTGAAAATTCTGGATTAAGGCAAGGAATTCAAAATATTTATTCCAATGTGCCTCCAAAGTTTAATCCCCAGGAAATGTGTCCAGCATCAACACCCGGTGATGATTCAAGCTTAAATTCCACATATGGCCGCATAATTTCCAAATCCAGCAGTTCCTCAACTGCAGGTAACAGTTTTGCATACTGTTGTGGAGATTCGAATAAATATGCACATGCTAACATAAGTTTTCCGTGGGATGTTGCACAAAATGCAAACACTTATAACATGACCTTAAAAAATGAAACTGATGTGAAGGCTACTTTGACAGGTGGTCTACAAACCAGTTATCCTAAATTTGACCAATCAGTATGTAGCCCTGCATATTGCAGTGATGTTAAAAATGTTTCTGATCATTTAGTAACCACAGCCAATGTTCTAGATGCAGGTTCAAATGTTAATCAACTAGAATCAAATGCAGATTTAAATCCTGTGTATGAAAATATCCGAGATATGCACATTTCAGAAAATGTACCTAATCAAGCTGGTAACAGTCAGAGCTCCTCACATGTGTTTCAAAATAGTAAAAAGCAGAATGTGCATAGTTTTGATTCTGTTCTTATGCCTGCCTCTTGTACAGTAGTTAATAGTCCCATTTATGCCAATTTACATGAAGTAAAAAATAATCCTCCATCTTTTTCCCAGCCTACTCAAAAATTTCCTAATGTTGACGAATCAGCAGCCTCAGTAGATATAACACCAAATAAATTCTCAGCTTATACACCTAATACAACAGTGGGGATGCATTTTATTGGTTTTCACATTTCAGACAGTACACCAGTCAGTAGTTACAGTAATGCTCTCCCAAAAGATAGTAACTCCTATAATCTAGAAAAAAGTGGAACTTCTGAAGATTCATCGGAAAAGCAAACTTGTCTGTCAGTGGGAAAAGAAAGAAAAAAAGTCTCATTCTGTAGTATTCCTGCAAAAGCTGCTGATGATGACGATGATGATGAAGAAAATGAAGTCGATGAAACTTCAGCAATATCTAATGATGTTGAAAATGATGATCAAGGTTCAAATATTTCAAGTAATTCCAGTCACATGAATTATTTTAAAGATGATTACAAACCAAATACTTTAAATTCAAAGACCTTTTTACCTTATAACATCACACCACCTAGACAGAAAGGCCCTACAGAAGCTGAAAAAAAGATAGAAGCTCTAATGAGAGAAATAGAAGATGAGATGGATAATCCACCCGAAACTGATTATTTTGGTAAGTCAAACTTTATTTCTATTGCACATAACTGAAAACATGTAATTTGATAGTATGACCAATGATGTAATGGTTATTATGACTGTCATCCATGGCAGGTGAGGTTAAATATTTCCAAGACCTCTCAGTTTCAAAAGTTAAATTGGAAAAAAATTTATTTTATTCATATGTTTAATTTTAGTAACTCTTCATGCTTGCCAAAAAAAGGAGGGTTAAATGTGAAAAAAAAAAAAAAAAAACTATTACCTATTGACTACAATGCTTCTTTACAACAAATGACTTAACAAAACTGATTCTCAGAAACACAAATATCTAAAGTATAGTATACTAACATATAAACATATTTAATATACCATTTAAAAGAAATAAAATATAATTGTATTAATTTTTGTTTTAATTCTTACTAGAAATATTTTATAGAGTACTAATTTCTAAAGGTCTCTTAAAATGTAATGGCTCTAATTTGTATTTATTTGGCTCTATAAATCTATACCTGTTCTAATTCATAATATTTAAAACGAATCACATAACAGCCAGTAACTGTTAGTTCATTCTACAAAGAAATGGTTTTATAAAAAGGAAGTTACGTTTGTTCTTCTTTTATGTCGCATAAATGTCAGATATAGCGTATTATAAAAAGAAACATATTTTTAACCTCAAATAAAAATTTCAGTTATATTATGGTTACCATATCTGTATTTAAGTACAGACAGTTTATATTTTAAATATCTTGTTCATAGTAGTCAAATAGGCGGCAGGTCGCAATATAAGATTTCTTAGGCTAATATCTGATCGTTGAGTATTAAAATTTAGGTAAAAGTCTGTCAAATAGCATTGGTATGGTAAATGACAGAGTATCAGATATTCAACTAACTGGAAAGTTCAAGTAACTGGAATATTTTCAAATTTTAGAAACCATTTTTTTTATATATAAAGAAAATTTAGTAAATGTGAGATGTGTAAAGCTGTCATAAACAGTGCTTAAATTACGCCGGAGCCCGGCTCCGGTGCTTCTCAAATTTTAAGATAAATTACAACTTTAGCCGAAGTGCACCGGAGCCCTAAATAAGATGAGCTCCTGTACTTCTTTTTATAAATCTGAACCACAATTTAAAGGAAACAAAATTTAGAATTACTAATGTTTTAGTTTAACAATAAGCAGACTTTGCAATACTCTTATCTTCCTAGAAATACGAACTCATGAGAACATGAGGCATTCAAGTAAAGTCCCCTCACTCACATGGGGAAACCTTTGCCTTTAAGAAAAGCAATAAATTTGGGGGAGTTTGTTTAGGAAAGTCTAAATTTCTCGCCATGCCATCGTATCTAGTGTATTGTTATCGATGGTTACAGTTAGTTATCCTCGTAGGATGGAAAATGTGTGTTCTTAAATGTGCGTTAAGTGACAGCGAGTACAAGACTGAGATAAACTGCTCAAGCACGTCCTATACATCGTCTTCCCACAGTATCCACGAATGGGGGGGGAAGCATAACCAGCAACTTTACATTTAGGAGTCCGATTCAGGACTCAATTACCCCTGACAAACATCTGCTTGATGGCTATAATTATATCAACAGAGAGCCGCGGTCAAAGAGAACGTTCTCTCTCACCAAGATTCCCCTCATTCTGTTTTGCCCTGGAAAATTTTTGTGATTATAAAAGAACTTCCCCCCTTACGATCAGAACTTAAATTGGGCCGGAACCTACCGTGTCTCGGCTCCGGTGCTTCTTAGTTTTTGTAATAAATCATAATTCTAGCCGGAACGCACTGGAGCCCTGAATAAGAAGGCTGCGACACTTCTTTTATGTAGTTGAATAACAATTTCAGTAGAAATTTTATCTCGAAAATTTTATTTTAACAATAAAATTATATTAAATCGTGTATTAAATTTCAATTTATCTCTTTACAGTTTATTTAATTTTAATTAGTTAATTAATTCAATCTTTAACTATTTCAATAAATAATAATTAATTATCTAATAACTATCAATTAAATTATAATTAATTATATAATAATTATTGGTTAAATAACAATTTATAAACATTAATTAAATAGCTATTAATTAATTTTATAATAATTAACTATTTAATTTTACAATTATTAGTGAGTTTAATAGTCATTTTATTTATTTATTTACTCTGTTTCTCTCTGCTGACGGTCTTCCAGAGGGCTCCGGCACTTCTAATCTTAGAAATTAAGCCCTGGTCATAAAGCATGTTCTACTTGGAACTATGCTTATACCATCTAAGACTGCAATTACACGGTTGTTTTTCAGAAGATGTATCTATTGTGTTACTCCAAGAATTTGTTCTTTGAGCTGGATATTCTTCCTAGAAAGAGATGTGGGAACACATGACAGTTGAGTCTGTCTGTCCAGTGCCGTCTTTATATTATTGGCACCCATACAAACCAGTGTACTGGGGCCTTTATGACAACCACTCACTGAAACGAAATATAAAGAAATTAGCATAAGGCTTCTGGGCTGCATGGTCATGTGTCTACGAGAACTTCTCTTGCCAGTATATTTAATGTTGTTCCAAAGTATATCTGAAGTTTTCACGTATCTGGCATTCAGCATTTCTGAGCTTCATTCAGCATTCCAGATAATCAAGAGTTAATTAGATTTGGATATTACAAAACTTATGCATGGAATGAGGACAGCGTGGAACAAAGCAGTAAGATGAAACAAGCTGAAAAATCGAGAAATAAGTTAAAAACAATATATGGGCTAAAGTGGAGATGGAGAAGAGGATTCTTTCACAGCTATGCACTTTTTACTAGGTAAGAACTGGAAAACTCGAGGAAGGGGTTAAGTAGCAAGTGTGGGATAAGTACAAAAACTTGGCAATATAACAGAATCACTGTAAATATATATATATATATATATAATTTGTTAATTGCAGGCCTACTAAAAATTAAACAAGGCCAACTTTCTTTCTGTTTTATTATCAATTCTGGAACTTTTTTTCAAAATTTTGAATAATTCAATTAATTTTCTGGTGGAGGTTTACTGAGCAGATTCCTGATATCATCTGTGGCCTGAAGGATTCAGTTATGAACTTGGGGTAATTTAGGAAAACTTGGTAATTAGTTTTGCTGTTTATCAGCATCCAGATTGGCAGGTATGTTATTGATAAGATGGGGACAGAATGAGCCAATTTAGCTGCTTTTGCAGAGTTTACTCCTGAGTTTATTGAGCAATTCTTCGGTTTTGATGGTTTTAAATACTATGCACCTACAAAATGAGGCCTGCACACCAACACAATTACAGTAGATTATCTAATTGCATCTGTTTACAATTAATCGTCAAGTGAGAACCTCTACATTTGCGTTTAAGGGACAATTATCAGAGAATTGATCAAAGTTCTGAATGTTAAAACATAAAACAATAGTGCTTGGTTTTAAATTTTTCAATTTTAATTACAAATTCTGGCAGGTTACCAATTTCAAGAATTTCATCAATATCGAAGGATGACTTCAGCTGAGATTGGAAAATACAAGGTATTATTTTGCTTTTCAGTTATCAAAGCTGTGCAGTTTTAAGAACACTTAAATTGTAAGCAACTAGAGTTGATTTTACTTCCTCAGTAGAACAATTAATTTCCAGGCCTCTCAGTAGAACAATTATCCTTGAGTAGGTTATCAGTTTTATGCTTTGCCAAATAAAATTCATCATCCACTTATATTAGAAAATTATTTGACAAGTTAGTCTGGAGTTAGGTATAATTCTATTCTATTTTCCTATAGATTCAGCATTGGTCTGACTTCTGCAAATTCTGGAGGAACAAGATACAATCAAGATTAGTATTGACCATTAAATGTGGGACAGCATTAAAAGAATTTTGTGCATGTTGATAAAGCCAGCATCATCTATATTTTCCATCCTATTTTTAAGAGGCCAGTATTTATTATCAGTAGGAATAAAATAGGCATAGGAATGTCAATAGGAAATTTTTAAATTCCAACATACAAAAATGTATCTGTTATAAAACAAAAATGATAAAAAAAAAACATTAATTAGGTGATATTCCACAATGTTTTAAAACTATCTTTTTTTATAAGCTTTTATTTAACTTGCTGATGGTTTTTGTCACTGCTGTCAAAATTTTGCCATTCATTCCTAAAAGTATTTCCAGGCAAGATTTTGAGCTCAAATTTTGTACACACACTCATTATGGATGACAATACAATCTGATGAATAGACCTTTTACAAAATTTTATTTAGATTTTTTACATTTAATGTTTGAATGATCTTTCAGGAATATCTTCGTTTGGTGAACAAACTAAAATTCTCAGAATTCTATTGCGTGCACCTTCAGACAGAGTGGGAAAAAATCTTTCAAATGAAGTTATATAAGATTTAAATGTAATTTTTGATTTTTTGGCAAAATCACAGGAATTTTTTTTAACCATTTGACGTAACAGAATAGTTGGAAATAAAAGGGTGATTATTCATTGTTGAAAAACTATTTTCAATAGAGTAATTTGATTAAACATGTAATTGACACTAAAAAGATGAAAATTTAAAAAGAAAAATCTTTAAAAAGTTTTATAAATAATTTTTTATAAATAAATATATTTATTTAAAATCATAAAATAATTAACTAACTAAAAGTTGAAAAATAATGTAGCATATAGTTTAATGAGAGCAAGAGATTAAATAATTATCTTTACAAAACTCATCTACAATTTTTATACCACAAATTATAAAATCATAGACACCTAAATAACAGAATCAAATTGCATTTTCAAAAGTATAATCCACTACCTTTATAAATTCATCAATGGTAGTCCACCTTCTATTAATCATTATATAAAATTGTAGATGGATTTTTGATAAAAATAATTATTTAATCTCTTTTTCACCATTAAACTATATGATAAATATTTTTATATTTTTAGTTCATTAATTATTTTATAAATTTTAAATAAAAGCTTATTTTATGAAAACCTTTTTTTTTTTACTTTTTATGGATTAATAAAGTTCACAACTGAAGTCACAATTCTAAGAAAAATAAGTATATTGATAGTAAACCAAATTCATATATGTATTCAAGAAATTATTTTGTAAATTGGCAGTGAATGAAAAACAATAAATTTGAGAAGGAGTAAAATAAGTGTAAGATATTATTTGTAGTTTAATAGTTATAACCTTTTATTACACACAATAATCAATTTAAAGAGCTAGTATCATTATACAAAGTAATCATTATGATTAAGCAGAGTATGTTCATATTAAGCAACAGAATGGGAATTCAGTTCTAGGTTATCAAAATATTACATGTACAGTTAGAAGTAATCTTAAGTATCTGTCAATATGTTTTATAAATGCTCTTAATTTTAGAATAAGTTTTTTAAGCATTTTTAGTTTATTCCTTTCTTTTTCTGATTTAGAAAGATAAACATATTTTTATGTACAACTAAAACTGGTTATTTATCTGGTATTTAAAATATTACTACTATAATTTATCTTTTTAAGAAAGAAAAGAAAAAGGAAAGTCCACTTAACTGATATGTTAGTTAGTGAAGGCAGCTGTCATCCCAGATATCCCATCTAGATATTTATGTAGTAGGATACTTAAATTATATTGGTATAATAATCTTCTCAAAAGGTTATTTTTCTCCTCAGTCGTACTTTTATAGCTGAAACAAGTTGTGAAAAACATGTTCAGAAGCATTCATGTGTAATTATTCATGAGACCTGTCCATATGGCTAAATGCCTCAATTCAGGATACTGAGACAGAAGGAGGGACACATTATCAGAGATAAAAATTATATAAAATTCTATATAAATAGGCAATACCATTATAATATTCAGAATGTCTCTCTCTAAATGTAAGACTTTTTATAAAAAATCCAATTACTGTACAACTTTAATTGTGATATGTAATAGTCACAAATACTAAGTTTCTCAAATGAAAACTTTAATTTAAGATTTAACAACCTGAAAAAAGTATCAAATCTTTCACCAAAATCACTGATTTAACTTTATACATTTTATTTTTATTAACTGTTCATTTTCTAGCGTATTTCTTTCCTTATGATGGCAGAAAAATGAGCACATTATATTTTTTTCAGTCTTTATAAATTCTACATCTCAAACTATAAGACATCCATATTATTTATTTGCATATTATTATTATTTATTTGCAGTTATTTTATTATGTAAACTGTAATAAAGTCATTACATGAAGTTAGAACTTGTGTAAACTGAATAACTTTATTTTCAGTTATGATTTATTAATCCATTGTTTAGCATTTTTATTAGTATATTCTGCTGTTTTATGTAAAATAAAATAGTGATCAAAGAGAAAAACAAAACTCATGAAATCAAAGTGATGCCACCTGGTGCATTTTATTTTAGTTCTGAGATAGACAAAAATGTACTCCTTGTATCACTACAGAAGGAAAAAAAAAAAATTGTAGCCAGCAGTAACATTTACAAAAGAGATGTATGGGAGGAGAGATGAGATTAACATATGCTTTTCAGTTATCGTAAACAATATTGTGTCTTCATATAGTTTTTATTTATCATTTTTTTAAAATCTTATTTATTACAAAGTACAGATATTAAATTAAGGAAATGCTAAGCATCACTCCCAGTTATCATAGACTTATGCAATTTTTTAAAGAAATAATTCATTCGGAGTGCAAATAATCATTTTATTTGTGGGTAATATAACCATGATTGCATTTATTTTTCTATAAAAGAAAATAAATAGAAATTAAATGTAATTTATTTTAAATTATTAACATATACTTTGGCAGATAATTTATTTAAGAATTTTTATTAAAAAATAGTATTAGCTATATTTAAGTTTGTCATTAATAATGAATTTCATGTAAAATTCTAGATTTGTTTTCCTTGAAAATTAGGAAGTGTAATTTGACCGACTCATTTTTCGATGGAAATAATGAAGCAATCAGTCATTCATATAATCAAAACAGCTAATTATAATTAACTTTTTAAAATAAATTTGTAAATCCATTTTTTAAATATGTATAAAATTTCAAGGATTTGAATTGGCTAACTAATATTATTAGCATTTGAATTTTTCTTTTCTGTGCCCATGTCATGAGCAAACATTTACCCAGGGTGTCTGATTGTTAATCAAATTGTTTTAAGCAGACATTCGTAAGTCAAAACATAGCAAACATGTTCATAATCCGACTGACAAAAAAACGATGATTTTTTGGGGGCGGCAGGAAAGGGAAGTGAGAAACTCCGGAAAGCCATTCAAAATGATGAATTTGCACTTACTTCTGTTGCGCGTGGAAAACCGTCTGAAATACGCTTTTAGAGCCCATCGTTTCGAATACAAGTTTGTAATAAAATATTCTGTTGTACACCCGAAATTAATTTCGAAGCAATTTCTGATATGACCCAACTACAGAAACAGTATGAATCAAAAAATTAAAATCGTGGTTTGATACCGACGTTAAGCACGTTCGTCCTCCCTGCAGCCTTTGCAGTATGCTAAAAATAAGCTTTTCCGACTGCTTACTTTTAGGGAAGTTCAGGGACATTTCGTTAGTTGTATTTCTACTTCGTAAATCACACATTTGCCGAAAATATTTTAGGCTTGCATATTGTGGCTTGTGGTTAATCATTCAAAACGTTTAAATCGAGTTTAGTCCTGCGTAAAGTTTTGGTTTCGATTAAACGTTTGCTTATGGATGTACGTTACCTCCGCGGTTTCACGTGCATTTCGTGTGAAAAATCATTTTTTAAACTATAGAAAGTGAGTGTTGCATGTGCGAGGATGAGAATGGAAAGTAAGTTGCATTTAACTATGTTTGTACATATGTGTGTGTGTTTATGTGTGTACACACATATGCATTCGTTTAATATATTTATGTTTCTTAATTGAGTACTAAAGGATTAATGGTAATTAATGGGGTGGTTCTCGTGTATTAAACTGTCAGTATGACATTCAAGCATTGAATTTTGTATGAAATTTTACTTCAGATTTATTCAGTTGTGTTTTATTTCATTTACATGTATATATATATATATTGTTTTATTTCATTTACATATATATATATATAATTTTTACAAAATCTGTGCAAAATGCTACACATACTGATTTCTGTTAAAAATAATCTTTATATTTCATTTGCATTATCCATTTTATTCGTTTCCAGTTTTCGAAACCGGATGCCAATTTACTGTGGTCTTTAAATGGGTTTATAATCTTGAGATTATAATCATAATTTTAAAACTAATGCTACTCTACTTGCAAATGTGTGTTTTCTATAATTAATAATTTTATTGGTTATTAAATTTTTAACTGGAAGTCATAGATGGGCCAAGTCATCCTAAGCAGGAGTGATGTCATGTTCTTAAAAAAAACCAAAATAAAAATATTAATTATAAAGAACTTCTACATAAGTAAGCAAAAACTAAAAGCAATATTTAACCCAGGAGAGATGCAAATAATTGTTCATGAACAAGAAAACGTAGAAGTTACATAAAATAATGAGTAAATTTAATTATATGGCACAGCTTATGCCAGAAGCTACCCATTTTCTTTTTCTTTAACTTTTTTTATTTTAGGAGGCTCTAAGGCCAAGAGACAAAATTATTTAAAAAAAAAAAAATATGTAAGGCTTTGGATTAAATTCTTCTAAAGCTTTTCCACTTGAAACAAAACTGACTGAAATATTTACACATTTAAAGATGTTCTTGTGGAAATATTGTTCACTGAGCAGAAAGCTCATTCAGCTTCAGAACTACTGATGGCAATGGTCTCTATACTGATTTGGGCTTTCCTTACACTATTAAGAATTCTGTTTAGCAGTTTTCTTGTTAAAACCATTTGAGCAAAATCATGAAAATATCTGCTTATATTTCATGTTTTAATATGAAATTTTATGTGTGCTGAAGTATCATTACGACAAGCAAGATGGTTTTTTTTCTTCGGATAAATAAACAAGCAAACAAAAAGAACAAGAGTCTCAAAAACTTAATAAAGACATATAAAAGCCATCTAAAGCTCACTACTAAATATAAATGTAAGCCTTTCTTTTCCATATAATATACCAATCACTAAATTAGGCAGTCCTGAATATGAGATTTTAATAACTGTTGCATTCCTAGCCTGAAGTGTAAAAGACAGTGAGAGAATAAACTAGAATTTCATGCGTGGTGGAACATTTTTATAATAAGAGAGGATCTGTACATAATGTTACTGTTCCAGCATAATTTGAAAATATATTGGATAAAAATATATTTCAAAGTACCCTTTGGCAACATTCCTGTTTACGTCCAACGCCCTCCCCTGTAAAATGGCATCCAAAACATAATTAAAACAAAAAATATATATTCTCAATAAACTGCATTTTAAGTCAAAGAATGTAATAACATAATGGTTAATCTCTGGATTATGGTAACTTGGCGATTTTTTTTGGCGAAAATTTGGCAACCAACCCTGCTACAGCAAACTGCTAGTTTTGTTTTGGACGCCATTTTGTTTTCACGAAGTAAAGGCATTTTTTTTTTACTCAACATTTTTTCCATCAATCTGCTAGCCGAATTACGCTTATACTAGAACTTTTATGGAACAAAAATACTTAATCATGATGAAGATTAGGTGCGAAATTGGAAGAAAGTGCAGAATCGCAAACTGCTTGCCGCCTTTTTAAGAATTGCACATACACGGTATCATCCATGTACACGTTGACCTATTTTCACTTAAAAAAGTCCCAGAATTGCACAAAATATTGCACACTCTTGACTTTATCCATGTACACTACTAATGTCCTAGCTAGTAACTTTTATCGCCTTACCAAAATGTCGCCAAACTACCTGTTACCATGTTCCAAAGATTAACCAACATAAAAAAGCAAAGGCATGCTATCTCATCTATGCTCTACCAAAAAAAAAAAAAAAAAAAAAAATATCGACTTGGATAGAAATTTCTGTGTCTTCAGTCTGTGACACACAGAATTCCTTAACAGCATCCAAAAACTTTCTAAAATTGTCTGAACTGGAATCTGCATACTGCCGTCGCCACATAAATTCGCAAAAATAAGAATAAAAATAGCCTCCAGAGTGTCAGACAAACCCATTCAAAGCCATCTGAACAATCTTTACATTCAACCAAACTATATGCATTTCCTTCATACAAAACAACAGGTCACTTATAACAACTACTAAGCAAACCTTCATTTACACACCAGTCAATTAATGTTTTTTCCCCCTTTTGTTCCAAATTGTACAGAAACTTCAGATTAATCTTATTACATACAGCCCTTTTACGGTGTAAAGCACAAATAAGCAACATACTTCCTAACCAACATTCAGCATATAAATAAACTCTTACAAATATTTTCCCGTCAGTCACTGCAATCACGCTACCAATCACATCATAATAGGGTTTTCCTAACATTCAACTACTCAGTTTACCATAAATGAAACAACAGCTTGGCATTATCCAAGGGGCACCCTAAAATATTGACTAACCATACATTGTAACTGATAAATAATAATTATTCAATGATGAGTAATGAGGTTAGTCTACATTTTAGGATGACCCTTGGATTATCATTAAGTTGTTGTTTTATTTATAACCTGAGAAGTTGAATGTTATGGAAACCCTGTTATGATGTGATTGGTTGCGTGATTGTGGTGAATTAGACTGGTGGGAAAATATTTGTAAGGGCACTGCATTGGATATAAGTTGGGAAGTACGTTGCTTATTTTGTGCTGTACATCATAAAATGGCGGTATGTGATGAGATTAATATGAAGTTTCTGTAGGATTTGGAAAGAAAGGGGAAAAAAGCATTAATTGACTCGTGTGTAAATGAAGGTTTGCTTAGTAGTCATTTATAAGTGTCCTGTTCGTAGAAAGGAAATGTGGGTACTATTTATTCGGTTTTGAGGGCCGTAAAAAATCGACAAACTGTTGTTGATACCAGTGCTGCCAAAAATAATTGCGGCAACCCTAACGCAAGAAAGGAGGTATAGTAGTAAATAACTACCTAAGATTGATGTTTTAATTTAGATGAAAAGTTAATTTCATATAATACTTTGTTATTATTATAATTTATATAAAAAAGGTTAAATGTGACTGAATGGAAGCATAAGAGTAAATAACTAATTCAGATCATTATTATAATTTATATAAAAATTGCTAAACATAGCTGAATGAATGTCTGTATCGCTATTTCGCGACCGAGTTATCGCTAAAGCATAATTTCATCTCGTTTTTTGTTCAAGCATAATTTTCTATAATGAATGATGCCTTTTCTTTGAAAAAATTCTCAGTAAAGTGCCGAATCGCCCACTTATTTTTTTGCCGCTTTTTAAAAAGGTAAAAACAATTGGGTTTTTGTCAATTTTCTTTTACTTTTTAAGTGAAAATAGGTCGATGTGTACATAAAAAAAGTCAAGGGTGTGCGCAGTGCCATTTTTGTGCAATTCTGTTTTTTTTTTTTTTTTTTTTTAAGTGAAAATAGGTCGATGTGCACAAGGATACCGAGTATGTGCAATTCTTAAAACGCTTCAAGCAGTGGGATTCTGCACTTTACTGAATGCCTGTTCATATTAAGCAAATTTACTCAAGGCCATAGCTTTCTTTGATAGAAATGTGTGGAACAGGAGTTGAATTCTCATTTCTTAATTTGTAATTATATACAGTCAAAGGTCGTTAATTCGGACACCCATAATCCGGACCTCAAAGCTAAAAACTTTCTGCGCATGCGCCGCGTTGACACATGCGCATAGGCGTTTATGCGTGCGCGTAAGACTTTTTGCGACTGCGCATATGCGTGTGCGCAAGTGCAGAATACGTTTTCGCGTCCGCGTTTTATGTATAACGGACGGTATAAGCTAAAATTATCTAATTATCTATTTCAGTTAATGTTGATGATTGCGTTGTTCCTTAATTTTCGAACTGGATCCGGCTTATTATTTTTTGCAGACTGTAAGAGCAATACTATAAAAGTAAACTTTAACTTTCGATTATGTCAAATAGAATTTCCGATTCTGGAGCTCCCAAAGGATCGTACAAAATGAAAGTATGTTTCGATGTCTATCAAACAAAAAGTGGAATTTCTGCAAAAAATGGATAAAGACATGAAGAATGTGACAGAGAGGTTAGTGAAAATGAAAAAATTTCGATTGACAAGTTAGTCGGTATTCTCGGCACAGCAATTAACGGGACTTGAACAGCGGAATAGAATTTCCGATTCTGGAGCTCCCAAAGGATCGTACAAAATGAAAGTATGTTTCGATGTCTATCAAACAAAAAGTGGAATTGCTGCAAAAAATGGATAAAGACATGAAGAATGTGACAGAGAGGTTAGTGAAAATGAAAAAAATTTCGATTGACAAGTTAGTCGGGGTATCTCGGCACAGCAAATTAACGGGACTTGAACAGCGGAACTTTGTAACTGAACAAGAAATTATGTCTGTTTATAGAATTAAAGAGAAAGTATTATCACATAAAAACGAAGCAACTTAAACAACTTACACTAAAAGAAATGTTTAATAAAGTAAATAAATAAATATTAAGCTTTTTTATTGTAAATTTTGATACCCTTTAGATCATAATTGTTCTTTATTTCATAAATTACGGTTTCATATTTTTAATTTTAGAATTTCTACATGCCATCTTATGAGATTTAAACTGATGATTTATAATCCGGAATCGCCAAAGTCCCGACGAGTCCGGATTAACGACTTTTGACTGTATATATATATTTGCCTTCCTCATACTTTTATTTCATTTTGTTATAGCTGGTTCCTGCATTTTGTAATGACAGTCATCTTTTATCAAAATGCATGTGATATTGTCTAGCTTAATTAAAATTGTTTTAAAAATCCTTTTTTTAACAAGAGTAATTAAAAGAAGCATAACATTAGAATGTTATTGAACCAATATTATGTCCCTTAAAATACTGAGAATACATTAATTTATTTTTTACAGGTATTTGTCACACATGTGGAGAAAAAGTATCTGGTGCTGGTCAAGCATGTCAAGCAATGGGAAACTTATATCATACAAACTGTTTCATTTGCTGTTCCTGTGGTAAATATATGTACATTTGGAAAATATATTTAGTACTTTCTGATTATCTGCTCTCTCAGTTTCAACATTTGCTAAGGTTGTTTTAATGAATTTTCATATATGCATGTGACAACAGTCTACTCATGCATGTGCATACCGTACTTATGTTTTCTGTACACACAAATTTACATGCTTTATATATTTAACTTTCCTTTCACTTAGTAGCATCCGTTGTCTGTAAAAATCAGCCATACAAATTTTTGTCCTTTCATACTTCATTTGTTCACGTTTCTTTTGTTCTCATAAAATTTCTTGTTTTTTTATGAATAGCTTTTTTTTATTATTATTTATGAAAAGAACTATACTTATGAGCTGTAAAAATAGCCAGATGAACATTTCTTGCTATTAGTCATTGTCAACTTTTCACGAGGTTCATAGTTAGAAACATCCTTTTTGGTTTCCAAGTTTCTTTATTGATAAGCAAATTTAAAACTTTGATTTTGAAGTTGTAAAAATGAATTTTATAGAAAAGATAACTCTAATGATATAGAGTGTATGTTAATGTTTAGCCTAAAAGGGTTATTAGTCTCGAAACATGATTTTACTTTGTTTCAATTTTCATTCGATTCTATGCCATTTGGAAAAATGTAAATATTATTCTTTCATAGTTAATCTGTCTGTTATTAACAAACCAAATTATTTAAAAACAGTAAATGCATATCTTAAAAATACTATTTATTATTATTTTGCTTTTTAATCTAATTGATTTAACTAAAAATGCATTTATATTATGATATATCTGATTAAAAACACTACATATTTTTATAGAATTTCTTTACATATTTTTCACGTTTTAAATACACAGAATATATGCAGTGTTCCCATGTTAGTCTTAATGTGTATTCATCCAATATCCTATAAAATGTTTTTGCTATGCCACCTAGGCCATCTGTATTAAGTCCTCTAATAAATCATACTGACCGTTAAAAGAAGCATTTTGGGCAATCTTTAAGATCTGAACCTTTTCAGATTTTATTTCAAGAATAAATATTTTGCACTTAAAAAGTATTATTGTTGTATTTTATATTATACTAATTTGGTACTTTTCCGTTTTGCTGGCGCATAAAGTCACCAATATTGGTACAACTGATGCCAAACGGAACATCTTCCCTGGTAACCTTTTACACCTCATTTTCAAAACAAGTCACAGCCATTTCTTACCAGATTAATTGTTTCTTTCAATACTGGCATGCAATTACATAGAATATTTACAAAGATAATTAAATTTTATGCCCTAAGACCATTCATGGTAATTAAATCAATTAGGATGCAATCACATGTCAAAATCAGTCAAAAATATAGAAAAGGCAAAATCAAGCGTTAAATTCATTGGTTCTAATGAGAATGCACTAGCGAAGTGAAGCGCTGCAATTTTACATAATTTCTGAGTAAGCTATTTGTACCAATTGAAAGAATTCTTGCATTTAAACATGTATTCCAAATTAAGAATTAACTTGAAATTAATGTAGCTAATTACTGAGAGAATTCTATTTTTGTAGCGTAGTTTACGTGTGATGAGATCACTTGGGGTCACGTGATACGAACCAGCGAAATCAGGATGTTGAACCATGATAGCAAAATAAATTCTTAAATTAATGTCTTTTTACAAATTTATTGGCTTTTTACAAAACTATAAACCATATTAAAATGTTTGGTGTTATTCGGTGTCGAGGGCCATAAAAAATCGCCAAACTATTGTTGATGCCAATGCTGCCAAAAATAATTGCGGCACCCTAATAATTGCAGCAAGAAAGGAAGTATAATAGTAAATAACTATCTAAGATTGATGTTTTAATTTAGATGAAAGGTTAATTTCATATAATACTTTTTTATTATTATAATTTATATGAAAAAGGCTATAATTTATATGACTAAAGCAAGAACACATAAAAGAGAGTTTCTTGTATTTTGAGGGATTTGTTTAGCTTAAGGTTTTTGTGGGTGTTATTTTTAATTGTTATATGTTTAATTTTACCCTTTTATATTTTTTCATGAACAGAATGTATTCAAACAGTTTTTCATGTAATTATGTATAGGCCGAGCCTTGCGGGGAAAAGCATTTTATAATGTTCATGGGAAGGTTTATTGTGAAGAAGATTATTTGGTGAGTTTTAAATTATTAACTATGTATTTGTAAACACTTAATCCTTTTAGTAAAATAAGTACTAGTGTATTTGTACAGACTTTATGAGCCAATAAATGTGCACAGTTTATGGTGCAAATAATTTATTTCATAAATAGTTTCATTTAAATTGGTATATATTCTAAAACCAGTCAATAAACATACTTGCAAGTGGTTTTTGTTTCTTTTGCTCTGGAAGAAATTTTGCAGTGATCAAGAGACTCAAAGCAATCAATCTGTTCATTGATTTTGGGACACAAAAGAAAAATACTGAAGAAATAATACTGCAGTTTCTTCCATTGCAAGAACAACTTTGGCAAGCACATATTTTAAAATTGAGTTTTAAGTAAAAAAATACCCTGATTTGTTGGAATATAATAAATAGAACACATACTGAAATATGCTGGTAGTTAAAACTAATGAATTTTTATGCAGTTGGTAGTGAGAGTTCGGCACATTCTGAAACTGGTGATTTCTGTGTGGGTGATTTGTGATAATCCGTGATTACTGTAAAATAAATATAGAAGCTGTATTAGTAAAAAATTTTATATTTTATTTTCAAATTGTAACATTTTAAATATCTTGCCTATATATTGTTATGTATCTGTTAGCATCATATATTTACTTTGTTGTTTTTATAAAAGTTATGTGAAAACTAGCTTTATCTTTTATAGATAGTGTCAAAATTTGAGACTAGTTTTTATAAATTATCAAAACTGATGTGAACTTTTATGTTTTAATGGCTTATATTTTTTTATTTATATATTATATTTGGTACTTTTCCCGTTTTGCCGGCGCAAACGATAAATTCGCCAATAATGGTACAACTTATGCCAAACAGAATATCTTCGCTGGTAACCTTTTAGGCCTCATTTTCAGAACAAGTCACAGCCATTTCTTACCAGATTGATTGTTTCTTTCAATACTGGCATACAATTACATAGAATTTTTACATGATAGTTAAATTTAATGCCTTAAGACAATTCATGGTAATTAACTCAATTAGAATGCAATCACACCGCTCACCCGAAGGGAAAAATATAGTAATTGTAGTAGTATTTAGTATTATATATATTAATAATAGAATTTAATTTATCATTAAGCATGTAACTTTTAAGCTGCATTTGTTTAAGTGCTCTTTTTTTATTATAGTATTCAGGTTTCCAACAAACTGCTGAGAAGTGTGCGGTGTGTGGCCATTTAATAATGGAAATGGTATGTTATTAACATATTGCTAAATTACTGTGCAACACTCATTAAACAACTATATTAAAGCTTTTTAATTTAAATGTAAAACTTGAAACAGCTCAAACTGTTACAAAATTAGAAATTTAATGTATACCTCTGTGAGTTATTCACTTGATTCCATAGATTTCAGGATGAGGGATGACTTAATTCCTCAAGATGACATCTTTCTATTCAATCTGTCTTAAGTATTCATGTATAAAATTTCAAGTGGAAACTGATGAAAAAGAAAAGCACATATAGTACCTGAAATTAATATGTTTGTTACATTGTTGTTTACATAACTGAAAATAATTCAATTTTTATTACATCTATATATGAGCATCATTTATAGCTCATGCTGGATCTAAGACATAGGTTACCAGTGGGGGCAGTATCGCCGCCATTGGGACTATGTCAGGGGTGATCGTGACATGTCTTCATATTTAGGAAATTAATATAATAAAATACTTGGAAGATACTTACTCTTTCCATGAATAAATATTTTATCTAGCTATCTGAAAGTTATATCTTATTGCATAAATAAGCATTAAAATTTTAAATTGACATTAGGTATACTTGTACCTATTCGGTTTACTGTTAGTGACAAGTCTTTGCAAGCTGGTAAGTAAAAATGTGATTCTTGCAGTCAAGCAAATCTTGGCAAAAGTATATTTGATTTGTTTACTGTAGAAAGTGCACAGGCATCACAAACAACCCAAAACTTAAAATTGATGGATGCTCAAAGTCAAATCTGTGAGAGGCAGAGTTAGCTCTAGGAATATCGTATTATTATTGTGTGCTTTGCCAATAATCCATATTTGTGAGTGAAAATGGTACTGTTGAAAGAAAAGTTAATTTATTTAAACCATTGCAAATTGTGTATTTCAAAATGTCTGAATCTAAGAAGAAAGGCATCCAACGCAGTATTGAGCATTTGAAATATGGATTTATGCTCTCTCCTGCAAATCGATCATTACCTATGTGTTTAATTTGCCAAAACATCTTTTTAAAATGGCATGATAAAGCCTTCTGTGCTACAAGAACATCTGAATAAAATGCATGCTGATAAAAAGGTAAGGCCTGGAAAAGAAATATTTAAAGCAGCCAACTATATCAAACCTTTTTGCATCATCTTCTAAACAAGATGAGAATGGAGTATGAGCCTCATATTATATTTCATTGTCAGTTGCAGAAGTGGGACATATATGTATAGTTGGTGAGGAATTAATCTTACCAGCAGTCAGGAAATAAAAACTGTTTGTCTTCATAAGACATTGTTGGTTATCATCAGAAAAATTCCTCTGAGTAATAATTCGTTGCAAAGAAGAATAAATGAAATGGCTGAAGACATTAAAATAAATTTTGTGATTCCTTAAAGACTTGCAAAATTTCCACTTAATTCGATCAGTGAACTCTGTAAGATAACAATATTTCTTAGTGCATTTAACTTAAATATTTAATCATTGCCAACTGTAATAATGTCAACATAAGGTTACCATACTCTTAGTACTAATATAAAAAAAATGTTTGGGCATCACTGCATGAATCATTACTCGAGTTGTCATGCGTTGATAAACATGCAGCGATGAAAGCAAAATATAATAAATAATGATTTGCCAGGTTGTCATCAGGGATATAAAATATTAGTAGGTATAAAATCAGCAATGTCTCTGTCTAGAATGTTTTGGTTTGAGATGTATACTAAGCAGATACAGAGCCAAATTATTGATAACACAAATTTATGCTAAATTATTGTTTCTTTAACAAGGTATTTATTTAGTGCCAAAGGAAAATTAAGAATCAGGACTCTCGACATATTTCATCTATCTGCAGGTAAAACAATCAAATGCACATGTGTAAAGCATTAAAAAAAAGTTGGTGGTGGGTTTTGAGGTCCAGATTTTAGATTATTCCGAATATTCCAATCTCGGATTTTGTACTGTATATAATTTCACTGTCACATCATTTGCTATAATTTCATAGCCACAAGAGTTTTTATATTACATTGAGTTCATGCCCTGTAAATATCTGCTTAAAATCCCTCATAGTACTTATCACCTCCACCGAAACAATTCATCACATGACTAGTTAGTGTTAGCATTGCAGTATAATACCTCAGTTATTTTACCATACTTAGTGTGATACTATAATCTTGAATGGCAAAATAAGTTCCTAATAAAGCTCGTTTAATTACTCTGGAACTGCTTACAAGAATAAAAGTTATGAATAAAGCTATGAAGTTATGAATAAAGTATTCAAAATCTTAATATGTTCTGCAGATTATTTTTAATGAAAAAATTTTTCCTGCATATGTTTATGAACTTGAGTGAATTACTAGATGCTATAAAAATTTAATGATGATTTTAGTGATTTATTGATATAGGCTACGAAATGATACAACAGTTATATTGACTGCATTAACCATTGTAAGGCAATTATATGTTGTCATTGCTTTAATCTTCAGTGCATAAATGTTAATGTTTAGCTTATTTTATTGCATGAATGCAGCATGTAATACATGTAGAGAATGAAATTTTGTGTTAATTTACTGTTTAGGATATTGGTGAATTTTATAGCAAGAGGCAAAATAATTAAACATGCAGGTTTGTAATTGCATAATATGCTCATTCTTTCATAATTCAAGAGTAAAAAATTTCACTGCACAAAACACTTAATTTGAAATAATAATATTGATTACAACGGTAATCAATATTATTATTTCAAATGGCATGACACATGCAACTTGATGCATTCATTGGGGTTGGCCAATAACTATTAGTTATTTAGCCATCTCATTACTGAGAGCACTGCCCAAGGTACATCACAGGAAGTGACTGATTTTACATCAGCAAAAATGCATTTCCATTTCAGTTTTGATGAAAGGCAACCAAGGGCTTCTCATCCTTCTTTCCTCACCACCAAACCACTCGAGAGAACTTTTGGCTTGCCAGTATTTTAAGGGCCACCATGCCACACAAACACTATATGAGTTCATAGAAGGAGGGTTTGATGTACAAACATGGCAACTCTTCTTTGAGATTCAGATCACAGCCCTAGGATGTAACATTAACCACTATACCAATCAGAGTGATATATTATGTAATTGATCTTTGAAAAATCAAGGACTGCACTTCATGACTTTACTTATATTTGGCATTTCATTTTTAATAAATGTGTTAGACCTTTCTTTAGGTGCAATGAGGCATGACAGAACTTGCAGATGAACTACATAAAAGTATTAAAAAACAGGCCCACTTTATCAAGAAAAAGAAAAGGTGTTATGTAAAATGCATGTAGATATTAGTCTATTTTATCATTCATTTCTGAACAAATCTGTTATCCGGAATTTTTCATTTACAATGTGTAGTATTAGTAATATACATTGCTGACTCTTAAAGTTGCTACACAAGGAATGGCATTCAAAATCGACCTGAAATTTGAATAAAAGGTACAAACAACATGCTGAAATATTAAAATAATTGTGAATATTTACATTGTAGGGAAGAGAGATAGCAACTGCAAGCAGTATAAAGAGGTAGATTGGAATGCTGATTTTTCATTCAGAAACTACATTTACTGATTTTTTTTAATGCTAAAACTGTGAATTATAACATTTGGCAGATGCTGCTTATGTTAGCCAAGATCCAATTACTTGTATGAAAATTTGCTATTTGATGGGTCTGAGAATGCCACAGAGTGATATGTGGGATCTTAGGGTTGGATCGGTGTAGGATCTTTTCACATCAGTGCTGAAGATGACACAACATATTCTCTGAATCTTTATTAAGGATCCTACAACCACCATTGCATGACCTAGGTCAGAAAATTTGATGTGTTTCATGTCACCAAGTATCCTCATGTATGGTACATTGACATCTGCAGTGTTATGGATTTTCAGTAAGATAACACTGACTTTTCTTCTCTTGGTCTTATAGCTCAAGAATCAGATGTGCTTAATAATGCTGATAAACATGTAAATAGTGTGATGTGTTTTTTTTGGGGGGGAAGAAGAGTCCTGCTTTTGCATACTGCATCATCATTGTCATACCTGTGTAGAACAAAATGAATGTTGGAAGTTTGCATTTTTCTTCATCATAGGAGCCATCACTTAGATGGATGGTTTGTAGTGCCATCAGTTATACTTCCCAGTCATCTTTAGTTTGCATATCATTTATTTAATTAACTACTGTTACAAAATTATGTTTTAATGCATGTTCCTATGCCATATCTTTGGGGTCTTCATTACTCCGTCTTTCAACAGCACAGTGCAAGACCACATTTGTCCACACAGTACTATGTTTTCTCACCATTCAGTGTTTTTTGACTCCTGCCTTGGTTACAGAGAGACTGGCATCAAAACATCTGCCTCTGACATAGAATTGAATTCACTTGAATTAAATTATCTCAAAATTGCATCCAAAGTCCATGCTCAGCTGTATAAAGCTGTTATTTTTCCCATAGGCAGATGTTCTGCATGTTTATACTTTGAAATTATCCGAAATTTTAATTAACTGATGCTTCCATGATAATGTTTTTGTAAAATAAACATGATTCTATTGAGTCATGTATAGCAATTTTAATGGGAAGTAGTTTAAAAACATCTGCAGTGTTTTGTGTTATAAAGACAACACTGATGTAATTAAAAACAGATGATTTATCATATATATCCATACTTAGTGTATGCAGATTATTATATATATGGATATAGATATACTGTAGGTATATTTTGTTTTGTTATAATTTTTTTTATGTTTAGCTTGCTTCATTGTAAGAATATGCCATGCTCATATGTATAGTAGGAGAAATTGTATTAACATGGTGAAATTTATTGCCTGAGTGGTTAAAGCCATGGAAAATTGGTAGTTCATTCCAGGTTAATGCTTCTAGTAGTTTTCCGTCTGAAATCCTCGTTGAAAGCATCTTCCAGGGTTTGTAGCGGTCCTTACAAGTGCTTATAAGTCCTTATATTTGAAAATAAAATATAAAGGCCCTTATAGGTGCTTACTTTTTCTTTAAAGCCCTTATTTTTTTGTTTTCAGTGCTTATTTTTTGCTTTGTGTGCTTTTTTTTAATAAACGCGTACGTTAATTTTTTCCCCGTACCAAAGCCGAAACTAAATAAACAACTTTTCTTCCTTATATGCAACGTCAGATGGTGAATCATACTCCTGGGAGTAGCTTTCCCCCTTTCTCTGCATTAACGTAACTTATGGTGCGTGCGAGAGTACAGACAGGTGCATGTCATTCTATTGGTCAAAGAATTGCAAAAACGGTAGAAAATTCTGGTACATTTGGTATTCTTTTCCTCCCACCTAAATACTACATACATTTGAATTTCTATCAAGATTTTAATAATTTGCATTCTCGTTCCACGTGATCAGTTCATATTCGTGTTTATTATGATCGTTATGCTTATATTATGAGCATATGCATGAATATTAATAAATATAGTTGCAGTAACTGGCTGAAGTATAGATAAACTTCCAAAAATGGGTGTGTTAAAAACACACCCATTTTTGGATTAGCTTTCTAAGGAATAATATTCGGAACGGCTTAAATAAAAGAAAAGTAATCGAATAGTCAAAATAATTCCTGTTTTTATTCTTTTTTTTTCCAATACATTATACAGTATGGAGGTTGGGAGGTTCTCCCCTTTCTCTGCAAAATCTCTAATATTGAAGCAGCGGACTTTTTTTTGGACACCCCAGATTAGTAAGTGTCTTTCTTTTCCTTTATTTAGTTCTTTATTCTCCGAATACCAGCAGCTGTTGATTCCGTAATATCACATGCGCAAGAATTACGCCGCACGTATTGCACAGTAATGTTTGGGGTATTTTGCAGAGATAATTAACGTACAGTAGATGGACAAAAATATGGAAACACCTTGTGAAATGCATGTTTGAAAAGAAAGATTGATTTTAATGAAATATCTGTAGGTGGCGCTGGCGTTTTTGACTACTGACGCCACCTATACAACTTCGTAAATGTGCTAAACAGTTCAGTTGTTGTCGGAGTACTGTTATGGGAGGTTGTCATTGCATTATGTCAGAGTTAACACACTTCGAACGTGGGCAAATTGTTGGAGCACGTATGGTAGGTGCTTCCATAAGCAAGGTAGCCGAGGTGTTTAGTGTTTCAAGAGGTACTGTATCGAAGATTTATTCCGCGTATTTGAAAAGCGGAAAAACATCATCTGCTAAATCACAGCGCGGACGAAAGTGTGTCCTGAGTGATCGTGACAGACGATCATTAAGGGCAATTGTGACGAAAAATAAGAAGACCACAGCTGCAAAAGTTACTGCTGAATGAATGTTGTGTTACCGAAACCCTGTGAGTACCAAAACATTAGAAGGGAGCTTCATAAACAGGGAATTGCTGGTCGTGCTGCAATTGAGAAGCCACTCGTCAGTGATACTAATGCCCGTAACAGGAAAAGGTGGTGTTTAAGTCATAAAGCCTGGACTATAGAGCAGTGGAAGCGAGTAATATGGTCTGACGAGTCTTCTTTCACATTGTTTCCCATTTCTGGCCGAGTTTACGTCTGGAGAACGCCATCTCAAGCCTATAATACAGACTGCTTGTTGCCAAGAGTGAAACATGGCGGTGGTTCTGTTATGGTTTGGGCAGCCATATCATGGTTCTCTGCTAGCTCCATGATAACTGTGTCAGGGCACATGACTGCCAAGACTTATGTGAACATTTTGGCCGATCAAGTTCATCCCATGGTACAAACTTTGTTCCCCAATGGTGATGGTGTCTTCCAAGACGACAAAGCTCCTGTTCACACAGCTCACATTGTCCAGGACTGGTTTTCTGGACACGAGGATGAGTTGTCCCATATCTCCTGCCCACCACAGTCACCAGACCTGAATATTATCGAACCTTTGGGGTCTACATTGGAATGGAAAGTGTGTTCTCGTTATCCACCGCCAACATCATTATCTGAACTTGCCACTGTTTTGCAGGAAGAATGGTATAATATTCCCTTGGCAAACATACAGGAACTGTATTTATCCATTCCGAGAAGACTGCAAGCTGTTTTGGATGCTAACAGGTTTCCTACACCATATTAAGCAAAGAAACATGTTTTTTTAAAGGTGTTTCCGTATTTTTGTCCAACCCCTGTATTTGACGGCATATAAGACGCACCCTTATTTAGACGGCCACACAAGGAAAAAAGTTTCAATAGTGTGGTTTCTTTTAGTTCTCACATTTCATAAAAGCTAAATAAACAATTATTGAAGGCAATTACCTTCACGTATAAGACGCAGGTAACTTTTTTGAGACCAGATTTAGGAAAAAATGTGCATCTTATATGCTGTGAAATACAGTAATTTTGATGTTCAGTCTGAGATTTGTTTATGAACACTTAAAAGGAGTTTTACTGTGCTTTCTAAGCAGAATATTTCTCAGTTCCGTTATATTATTATTTTTATATGATGCACATATCGAAATGTCAAAATTATTTATTTAGCCGAGAAATCTATGAACGGCTACAATCTTCCCCACTCCTCTTTTTCCAGTTACTATACGGAATATTCGGCAATTTCCAAGTATGCGGGTTAGTTAAGCTTTACTGTTAAAGGATGACTGCACGAAGCAATTTCCCGTCTTCTGATTTCAGAAATGTGCTCTTTTTTACTTAAATTACTTTGCTTGGAATATATGTTAAGGGAAAACTGTTATGCAATGAAAATTTAGAAAATGTTCAGAATTTTGATTTAAGTTAAATTATTTAAATATTAATATGAGTGGAAAAATAAATTGTATTTATTAATAGGTGCCAAACAAATACAATTAATATGGCTTATTATTATTTATTTTTTATATTTTGAACTGAAATTTCATCATTAAATCTTGTAATATAGTTTTGTTCTGCATAGTTTTTTTTTTTCTCTCTTTGTAAACTAATTCTGTAAATTGAACTGCCATTTAAAATTTAAAAAAAAAAAAAAAGTTAGTTGTTTTCCATGGTTGAGGTAATGCTCATTCTCTTAATAAATATTGCATTGCTCATATTTTAAGTTACAAGTCTAATTTTTCTTTTAATTTTATGCAGTTGTGTATAATGTAATTAGACAGGTGCTTATTTTTTCCTTAAAATGTGCTTGAAAAGTGCTTATAGGTGCTTATTTTTTTAACTAAAATGTGGCTACGAACCCTGATCTTCTCACTTGAGCAGGCAGCCTTAGGGTGTGTTGTCATATTTAAATAATCTAGTCCTTGTTTTTAATAGAAAGCACAGTATTCATTAAAACTCCTTTCAACACTGATTTTGCCTAGTAAAAATATATGTGCATATTATGTCATATTATTTGATGTGCTACATCTAAAGAATTACATTTCTATTTTATGTATTATTAAAAATTTTTTTAGATAACTTCATTATGTTTTTGTCTTAATAACCAAACTACCAATCATAAAAATAATAGTTTCCCCCTTATTGAAATAGGTGGACATAAACTGTTGGTAGTTTTGGTATTAAATGCTGCTACAAATGGCAATTGTTATTTAAGCACTATAATGTACATTTTAATAAAAATTTAATGCCATATTAAAAATGTTACAGATATTGCAAGCAATGGGACGTTCATATCATCCTGGTTGCTTTAGATGTTGTGTTTGCAATGAATGTTTAGATGGTGTTAGGTTTACAGTTGATATGGATAACAAGATATATTGTGTAGAAGATTATCATATGTGAGTAAAGCTTTATTTTAGTTGAATTATAAAAATGTTAGTTTTAATTGTCTTTTTTATATATTGTAAAAATTAATAATTTATTCAAAGGATAATAAAGGGTGCGGTGGGAAAAGATAGATGATGTTTATTTGCAAAATGGTTGCATTTCTAGGAAGTGCAAACAAAAGCAAAATGTACGGCATATTCCTAAAAATAATGTCCCTGAGGTGTCCATTGTTTAATTCAAAAACGATTTGCACATTGCCAAACAGCACTCATTGTTCTTTGCACCATGTTCAGTGTGGTTTGTTTGATTGCATGTCGAATAGATTCGTGCAAATCAGCCAAGATTGCAGGTTGTGTCACATAGACTCTTGCATTAAATATCTCTACAAAAAGAAATAACACATCAACAAATCTGGCAAGCATGCTGGCAGCACACCATCATAGTTCTTAGAGCTAATTCTTCCTGGGAACATTCTCCCAAGTGTCGTCATAATTGCATTAGCTGTGTGCAGTGTGGCTGCATTTTGTTGAAATCAAACCTGTTTAAGATGGTACCATCTTGATTGTGGCATTTGGAAATTTTCCAGCATGGACATGTACTGAACACATGTAACATTCACAGTGTGTTCATCTTCATCTTGAAAAACATATGATCCAGTGATTCCATTCCAACAGACCATTATTTTTGGGCTATGAAGGGGCACCTCGTGAATCAAACTTGGGTTTCAAGTGCACAGTAACAATAATTGTGTTTATTGACACATCCATTGGCATGAAAGTGTACATCAACAGACTTGATTAATTTCTGCAGAAAGTTTACGTCATTTTCCATCATCTTGCAGTAGAATTGAATGTGTGCATTGTAATTTTAAGGATGCAACTGATGAATCAATTGCAGTTTGTATGGATAGAAGTATATGTCGTGGGGTAATACCCCTCGCACACTTCTGTGTAACATGTCTAGTGACATGGCATGGTGTTGTGTAGAATACCTGAGACTTCATTACCTTATTATATTTGCCTATGTGGTCACAGAATGTGGCTGACCTGGTGATTTCTTTACCATGATGGAAGCAGTGGCTCAGATATTCTTCACCCAGTTCATAATACTTCACCTGTCGGCACTTTCCCATTTTTCCCAATATGAAGATGGTGCCTGAACTTGCACTGTGTCATTGTTGCAGAGCTGTTATTTAAAAATCACTTAACAGCACAATGTTAATTAGATCAATGCTCCATAGCTACTGACAATGTGTGCAAGAAATTTCTCATGACTATACCTATAGGTTGTTCCAACGACTTACACTGCATGCCCACTAAAGCTTTTAACTTCTTAACAAAACAAAGCAAGAAACAACACACTAGCTATTGTGATGTGTCTGTTCCATTAATTTTAAATCATCTTACTTTTTCTGCTACACCTTTTATTTTAGTAATAAATCTTTACAAGTTTAATAAATTGTACGAGAATAAAATGCTCTAAAATATAAGTTGTTACATAGCAATAGCATTTTTAGGGAGTAGAATGTGTAAAATTTTTATCTTCACATACTCACATTTTTTGTTAAACGTCAAATGTAATTGCATAATCATTTATGTAATATTGTTTCTTTAACTGATATTTTTTTGTCTCAGTTTGTTACATCGTATAAAACATTATTTTAACTGTTTGAGTGGCATGACCACCTTTATCCGGTCATGAATTTTTTGTCACTTAGTATATATTAGCTCATGATTTAAATTTTTTTCTTACTTTCTATTTGGATCAACATTATTTAGCTATTTATGATACAGATGCAAACTATCGTTTTTTTAACATTTCATTTTCAGTTTGATTTAAAGCTTTTCCTCTTTTAAATTGTTTATACATCATTGCTTTATGTTCACTGTTATACATCATTGCTGTTATGTTCACTGTTATTCATCATTGCTGTGACGTTTTAAAAATTTTTTCTTAAAATTCAATGTATTATCTGAAACCATTAATTTGTAATTTCTATAATAAGTGCTGATCAAAGTAATGTTTTAAACCAGTTGTCTCAAACTGGCTGCCCATGAATGCATTTCAGTTATGTTAGCAAAAATTTCAAGGTTTTCATTATTTGAAGTCTGAGTTTACTTTATTTTTATTATCATTAAGAACAAGTGTGAATAACACATCAGAAAAGCTATAAATTGAGCTTATTCATTTAAAATGTAATATAAATCTTATTGAAAGATTTAAGGATACAGATCTGATTAACTTTTATCCATATTTGTCCCAAAAAATTCAGTATGCTGAATTATGAAGTATTGCACTAAGAGTAATCGCTTTGTTTGTAATACATGTAAATGTGAACAGCTTGTTTTTCACAGTTGAAAATTAATAAGCAAAATACCTGATTGACCAATGAGCATCTACAATCTGAGATGAAGATAATTTCTAGTAATTTTTCGCCAAGGCTAAAAACTTAACCAATATCGAAATGCCATGTACTAAATGTGTTCTAAAAATAAGAGACTATGTTATCATTATTTATTTTCAAGTTTTGTCCCACTTGGAAAGTTTTCTCTGAAAATCTAAGTTTTAATAATAATTATTTGTACTTTAAATAGAAGTAAGATATTTAATGTTTAATTAAGCATATTAGAATTATTTGAAATACATATCAATTTGAAATATTAACATTTAGTATAACTGAATTACAAAGTGTAACCAACAAAATATTTTGCAGGTACTAAACTTGATTTTAGATAGAAAATAAATTTGAATTTTTTTCCTTTGTGTTTGCTTATGTATGTTTTGCTAAATGCTTAGTAAGCAAAATTTTAAATTAAGTTAAAATATCTTTTATTTTGATAAAAGAATTTCATTTAGCTGAAAAAAATTCAGGCCTATCAGCAGTTTTCAAATCATTCATTTTGCCCAAATGCAATTTGAGTTTGAAACCACTGTGTTAACTTATCCTCCCTCTCAAACCCGCATGCTTGTTTCACATTTAGTACATGTGCTTTTATGAGGAAGTTTAGTATAATCAAAGTGAGGTTTTTCATTATTTCTGATAGGTTTTTGGTGATAATAGGTCATTCTGTTAAAACGCAGAGCAAGCATATTTTCTGTTGTTTCAAATGTTGCGTTTTAAGAATAAATATTGTAAGAGACTCCTTTTTAGTTATGCTCAATTTATTAGAACCGGATATTTGTATATGAAAATAACACGCAGCATACATGCATGTAAAATGTGGAGCAAAATTTTGATTCCCTGTAAATAATTATAATATATTGTGGGTTAGGCTTACAATCAGCTTTAATTATCTACTAGTAGTTGGAAAAAAATGTATTTTTATGTAATTATTACTGATTTTAATATCTGATTTATTTTTAGGATATATGCTCCAAAATGTGCAATGTGTGGGAAAGCAATTACTCCTGTAGAAGTAAATATCCTTCATATCTTTTTAATTTAATATTTCTTTTAAAAGGTTCATGGGTATTATATGAAATCATTTAAACCATCAGATGTCATGTTATGAATGTTATAAATTTTACTCTATTTTAGGGAACTGATGAAACTGTGAGAGTAGTTTCTATGGATAAGGATTTTCATGTTGATTGTTATATATGTGAGGTAAATATGTTTTCATTTGATCATAGCGAGTGTGCTGTTATAAGATGTTGAAGTTTTTGTAATTTAGCATTTGAAGAGTATTTAAAACTTTTACTTATGAAGGTGGGATGGCTGTTTATTTGTGTTGTTGCTCAAATTCATGAATAGGAATGTAGCTCTTTTTTGGCTCTCACATATTCTTTTCCTCTTTCTTCTATAATCTTTTTTCTTTTTTTTTCGGGAGGGCAGCGCATGAATGATCACTTTATTTGCTGTTCTTGTTTACAATGATTTCTGTAGTTTGGAACAGATCCATGTAGTAAAATTTACCCAGGACTGAGCCTTGTAGTGGGCTACAAAGCATGTTGATGCAAAATCACTATAACGAAAAATATCAAATTACTATAACCAAAATTACTATCACTTTAGTGATATTTGGCATTTCAGTGCTATTTTGCAATTTTTCAGAAATTTCAAATGTTTCTTGAGTTTGCCAGTGTTCAGTTCTTAAACTCAGTGTTAAATAATTAACTAGTATATACACACAAATCTTAATTTGCTTGGCATTTGTTCGTGTAAGATTCATTTATTTGTATTGACTGGTTATGGTTAGTTGCATAATTTTTGCTGTCAGTGTTTGTGCTCCCAGTTTTACAACAGTTCATTTTGGAAGATGTGTTTTTTCCAGTATAAACTAACTTAATAAGACTCAGAAACAATGTCAAAATGTAACATCTGAAATATCTCACTGTAAGATGTTTCTAAATAGATTATAGGTATTTTTCATTGAGCAAATGATATATTCGCCATGTAACAAACAAGATACTGATTAAAGTAAGGAGGTTAAAGTACAGATGAGACACAATGAAAAAAATGATCTAAACAATAAATACTATTAGATATATTAACCCTTTGACGGGTGGTGGGATCATCTTTTTATTAGTTTTTATCTCCCAGATGAAAGCTGCGAAATTCCATTAAAAATACATACAATTACGTTTTTAGTTCTCTAAATGTATAACAGATGGCAGCACTAGTATTCATTCATGGAAATAACGTAAAATAAAAATTCTTTTCAGATCTAATTTTGAAGTTTTTTTTTTTTTTTTTTTCTTATTTTCTAATACCAGTTTAATTTGTCTGAACAAAAACATTTGGTGTTAGAATGAATTTTTTTATGTGAAAGTTTCCTTTTCTAATAAAAATTATTATTTGAATTCATATATTAGTTAAGAATGGTTGAAATTAAAAGGTGGAACCAAATACGTCTCACCGCACATGTAGGAATTGCTGCTGCTATATCGCAGCACCATTTAAATATTTTAAAATTAAAGTATCATTTTCGTTTTATATGTTGATAATGCATTTTTTAATAAATTGCAATAATGTTAAAACTTGAAAAATATTTAGTATTTTCCTGAAAGAAATCAAAATGTAATTCTGTAACATGAAATGTCATTGAATACTGAATAGACACGTGAGTGTGATTCACCATAGAAAAATATCCTAAGCAGAGAAGTGAAATGTAAATAAACATGATGGCCTTCTAAATATCTTCCTTTTCAAACCTGTAGCAAATAAAGTACTGGAGTGAAAATCTCTGTTTCAAATTTATTATAAAATCATTAAAAAATATCAAAAAAGTCGTACAGAGAGCAATTTCTTGAATTATGTAATTTTTTTTAAATTTATTTTGCGAATATAATCAATATTTTCTAGATACTTATTCAAAAACTTTTTTATATCTTGCATTATCATTTGGTCACTAAAACTAGCACTTTAGGTAAGTATATTAGGAGGATTTACGCTGAGGCAAAGATGCCATTTTACTGCTCTAGATCCGCGGTGGGACAAGTGGTATCCCACCACGTCATGAATTACTTTAAAGATTTACCTTTTTTTTTTTTTTTTTTTTTTTTGCATGAAATATCGTTGTATTAGGGGCTAACTATCTATGTGTAAAGTTATTTTTTCCAAAAAAAAATTTTTTTAATGCGCCGAACCTCAAAGGGTTAATAGATATCTGCTCTAGATAGAATACAAGTATTGGTTTGAAAAATGTTAATAATTGCAGTTTAAGTGCTGGCAAACACAACTGGACTGCAACAACAGTTTGCTTTCATGCATTTCCATTTGTATATAAAGAGGAGTTTAGAAATTTCATATTAAGATAGTAAATGATTAAAGTTGTGCTGTATGATGCAAAATTAATCGAATAATCAAGCGATAATAATAATTAAGTCAAAAATTAGTTAATAGTCGAAACATCAAGTAAACTAAGTACACACATCAAAATTGAAACAAAAAAGAAATCTAATAAATTTCAATAAAATAACAATGAAATTAATATAAATAATTGTTGAATATTTGTTGTTTCTACTCAAGGAGCTGTCAGAGAATTTTTGACAGAGTCACATTTCTAAATTTTATCTGGATGATTTATAAATTGTTGAAATAATTCAAAATAAATAATTAAATGAAGTGCCAAATAAAAATTAATTACAACTTTTAATTGAAGGCCTTCAAAAGTGCTATCAAGTAAAAATATTATAGCATTTTAATTGTATTTAATTATTAAGATATAATCTGGTCTGACATTACCCTAAAACGAAGATTATTGTAAAAAAAAAATGTTAGAAAAATAATTCTCATGTAAGGATAACCATGTCTCATGCAAGATAACAATTGGGTAAATTAAAACTAGTGTGCTAAATAAAAAATGAATTACAAACCAAAGAAAAAGCAGAATTGCTAAAAACTTTGTAAATAAAGAGCAACTGTTGCATATCAAATATAAAAATACTTCAGGTCAAAATTTTTTCAGGTAACGGATTTATTTAAAAGTTTACTAAAACTGAAATAAGTAAAAATTTTTAATAATAATTAATGCATAAATGTTTCCAAATTGTAGAAAAATGAGGAAAAACGTAAAAAGGGAAAGCTTAGGAAAAAAAGATTTATAATTGAAATATAAATTATAAAAGCCAATATGCCTAAAAATAGGGGAAATTAAAAGTAAAATTAGAATAGTTAATTCAGTTAAAATAATTTTATTGGAATACGAAAACAAAAATAAAACTTGAATGAAGTAATCCAATGGTTATTCTCCATGAAACTACCGAGAATGCTTTTCAAAGTTGAAACAAGCTGAATTGAGTTCAGTGGTAGAAAAGTTTGACTAAATGCAGATAATAAAAAGCAAGAACGGGATTGAAGTTAAAAATTAGTATGTAATTTGGGAAAAGAAATAAAAAATTTTTAAATTATGAAATTAGCAGAAGTAAATGAATTGTTTGTGCGAAAGGGCACGTAAATATATGTAAAAACTATTTTTTAAAAAAGTAATAAGTGGGTAATGAGGAGGAGAATAAGTTGTGAAAAAGTCTTCTCCTATTTGGTATACTATAGGACTAAAGTAGATATGCCATTTGTTAGTAACAGAGATAAAGAGTCTAATTACTGATTTATATTGTTTCGTTTTTCTATTCCTGACACCAGTTGTTATCTCAATGCACCTGTACATTTCGTAACACTGCCCCCTCCCCAAGGACTGCACGTCCCGGGCAGTACAACCCTTGGTCAGAAGCATAATTCGCTAGAAACAAAAGGTTCTAAAACAAATAACATAACTAAAGAAGCAAATATTTACACGATATGCAAGTTATATACACAAATTAGATACATAACAATTTTTTAAATTATATACATTAAAGGTTCAGAAAGAATTTCAGTTTCAGTCTTGTCATTATTTATACCGGGTCAAATACTTCTCCACTGCAGTTCTCAGATGTATTTCTGTTTTGCATATCATAGTCTGAAGATTCAGTCCTTTCAGACTTGTCATCCACAGGAAAATCTGAGACAGTTTGTTCAGCACTCTGTAGTTCATTTGCAGCATGCATAAATTTCACCTCGTTATTTTTAGCAGCTGGTATAAGCTTATTTTCCTCGGAACTAGCTCCAAATATTGCATCAGAGTCATGAACAGAACCTGATTCTTTAGAATCAAGTCCTTGTCCGCACAATCAGCACTATGAGACACACACATAATTTGCGAGGTGAGTGAATTTTCTTGCAATACTGGAGCACACTGCTTAAGCTGTACATCAGCTTCTCCCATCTCTGCATCACATGCACTTTCAGATGGTTCAACACTTGCTGACTGTGTTTTCATAACTTCTATCCTTTTCTAGGAACTTGACAGTCACATTTTCACTTTCTTGTAGCTCTACCTCAGGCACGTGAAAATCAAAATCTTCCTTCCCATCTTTTACTTCTTTATGTTTTCGTTCCTTATCTTTAATCCCGTTAGTTGTTTCATCTTTCATTTCCTGATCTTCCTCAGACAGTTCATGAGCTACTTTCTTCATTTCTTCATCCTTTGATTCTTCCGAAGCCACTTCTCTCTTTTCCACATCATCTTTTATGGCTCTAGTTTCTTCTGTAAGCTCCCCTTTCACTTGTCAGAGTTGCTTTCGCACCTTTTTCTTGGCCGACATTTAATTCTTCTCGTGGGGCGTTCTTCTCTTCCAGTGTAGCTTTCATCTCCATCAGTCCGGCTTTCAACTCAGCCTTGATCTCTTGATATCCGGCTTTTATCTCAGCCCTTATCTCAACTAAGAAATTCATCAAAGTCTTTGTTTCCACCGCCATGGTTTTTTTCTTCAGGCGGGTCACTGGCATTCTCTCGCAGATCCCACTTCTGACACCAGTTGTTGTGTTTTTCTCTTCCTGACACCAGTTTTTACGTTATTTTTTTTTTCCTTCACGGTCATACGGGGTTTATAGATTTAGAGTGAATAATGACGACACTTAATGAAGTATCGAAACACACTTTATTTAGCTAATATTAATCAGGGGCATCTCCAATAACACTTTTTACAGTCGTCGAAAATCTACTATAAACACGCTGGGACAATAAGCGACACAACCTTCACTCTGTCAGGCAATAACAGTGGAAATAGCTTCACTGCAAAGCACCAGAGTACAGCTTCCGACTCTGTTTGGTCATTCTCGGAACTCCACATACTCTCGAGATTCTCCACACGATGTATTCGACGATACACAAGAGTATAGCTCTCGACTCAGTCTAAAACAAAACTCGACGATGCACTAATTACGATACACTAAGAGACTCCTTCGGTGAACTCAACAACCCACTTGGTACTCGCTGCCCGGCTGTCAACTCAGATCGACTTCACAGGGATTGACTCGCTCAATGACTGACTATCAGCTCGCTAGACGAGGCACACACACTAACTGCTACTGACTGCGGACCAGCAGGGTTTATATAGCTTTCGGCTTGTGTTCAAGAACATTCTGGGCTAAACCGGTAAGAATTCGTTCCAGAAGGTTCTCCACCGTCCATGGTATGTCGCCAATTTTGTTGCCAAATGTGGCAACCCTGCCCTCCTTGCTATTTAATGGCAACCCTAAACCTGCTTTGCGGGGAAGCTATCTCACTGCGCCTGTACATTTCGTAATAATATGTTACACCATTGCTATGCATCCATTAAATACCTCCAAATTGGTTTTAAGTAAATCTTATCAGTAGTAACAATAAAGATTTAAATAACCAAGTGTGTAATTTTTTAAAAAGTAGGTTAATCAAATTGAGAGAAAATTGATTAATTATAAATGTAATTTTGAAAATATTGAATTTCTTGATTAGTATCTTCAACAGTAGGGTAAATTTTTTTAGTCTCAAAAAAGATTTTGGTTGATAATTATGTCGGCAATTTTTTTTTTTTTTTTTTTTTCAATTCCAATTTCTGAATTTAATGATAGTAAGGCTAAAAATTCCTTTATTATCAAATTTGTTTAAATTGTAAGGTCAAGATAATCAATTTTGTTATTTTTGGAACTTGATTAATATCTTCAATATCCATGGAAAAATTTTAAAGTTTTGTATTCTGCTGAATAATTGTGTTAGCAATTATGTTTTTGTAAGTGCTGGAATTACAATGTATGAGTTTAATAATAGGAAAATTAAAAAGTCCTTTTTTAGCAAAAAGTTTAATATCTTTAAGGTTTATAAGATCAAGATAATCAATTTCGTTATTTTCAGAATTGGTTTTAAACATTTTAGATAAAAATTAGCAGTGTCAGTTAACCCAGAATTATTGAAAGTGCTATCAATGTATCTAGAATTAAGATTAAAATTTTCTATTTGATCACAATTTTGCATGAAATTAAACTCTGGTACAAAAAGAAATAGATTAAAAATTGAAGCTGGACAACATGAGCACATAGGAATGCCATTAATCTGTAGGTAGATTTTTTACCTTTAACCTTTTGATAATCATCAATGAGTTCTCTGCTCAGATTCCAGTGAGTGCAAACATCCAACTATTACAAATTTATGACTGACAGATATCACACGTATTTGGGAAGAAAATATTGCTTAATATTGCAACTGCTGCAGGATTAAATTTGATAAATTACTGGAAAGGTAACATTTAAGGTATATAATCTATGAATCATAATATTAATATTATCCATTAGTGTAATAATTTTTAATAGTTTTTGATATTTTTTTTTATTGTTTTTAATAATCCAGTAATGTTGTAGGGATAAATTTAAAACATGGGCAGAGTGAAAACAAACTTTTTAAAATTTGTTCCAAAAATAGCTATATTCTTTTTATAATAAATCTATTGAATTGGTGTTTTATAAATTTTTTGGGAAAGTGTAAAGTTTGGGAAATTTTTTATAAAATTAATTATATTTTTTAAGTATTTTATAGCAGGGGTTTAGTTGTTAACTTTTTTTTTTTTTTTTTAATTGGAAATTTTGTACGTATATTATTATTTAGCTCTGTTTCAATTAGTTCAGTACCGAAAATATTTCAGATCGTGCTAAAATTATTATATGCTTTACCTGCAGAGGTAATGGTGAATTGGATTTTAAATTCCTGGATGTCATTAAAAAGTTCTGGGTATTTGTGCAGCTGCAGTCACACCGATAAAGTGCACATCAGTGAGTTCCAATGATGCATACTGCTCAAAAAATACACAAGGAATGATAATTTACACCAGCACAATACTTTTACCTACCATTCACCAGAGCCCTGCCACCTCTACCATATTTATTCATGTATTTCATTATTAAACCTACTTTTTTTTGGCCCCTTCTACCTGCTTCTACATTTTTGCCAGGTATCTTTTAACCATCTTGTACTTATCCTAACTGTCTATTAGAATTTTGAGTTGATAAGCTATAAATGAAGGTGAATAAAAAATTCGTTTTGTAGTTTGATTTTATATTGACTGTTTCTAAAGAACTCTAATGTTAAGTCAAGTTATGACTTCGTTTTGTATACACATGTATTAAAATATCCAAAAGTAAAAAGAGAAATTTTATAGCTTTCTTTTGTGTAAAACACTTTTTATAGAAATTTTTTATGATCATTCACGATGCTTTCTTTTGCATCAGAAATAAGTTTATTGAATTTTTTTTAAAATCATTTAAAAGAAATGGCAACATTACTGCAAGGTTTTAGTTACTGTAGATTGAAAATTTTTTACTATGTATGTACAAGAAACATATTGTCTTTTATATAATAGTTATTGTTATTTTGTAAAATAAGTGTTATGGACTGTTTCAGATCATAAATTTATTGTCAGTAAATTAGACTTTTTAGATAGATAGAAAAGTGTATCATATGGCACTTAAAATGCACTTTTTTAATTTGGCATTCTCCATTGGATACTTAATAGGCAGTCATGATAGCTGTTTTATTTTATTTGTGAAATTACGTTTATATGTAGTTAAAGATAGAAAGCTGAATTTTTTTTAATATTCAAATGTTATTTTTTTAGGATTCATATTCAATACATCTGATTGTATATAATTATGATACAAGATTTTGATATAGCCAGTATAGTGGTTAGTGTTGCTGACTGCCGTGCTGAAGGGCCCGGGTTCGAATCCCAGAGAAGGCATGGATGTTTGTAAATGTATAGTGTCGGTGTAGCATGGCAGCACTCGAAATATGTGGCCACCCGAGAGTCCTTTTGTGGGACTTGGTGGAAGGAGAGAGGGGTGGGAGACCCTTGGACTCCTCCCTTCTGGGGTGCTGTCCATCAAAATTGAAGGTGGATTTTTACATGCTTATATATAATACTTCCTGGCCTGGGTGAGGATGGCTTAGCCTTTCATCCCTAGAGTGGGACAATAAAATGAGTACTAAGTTCACTTGGAGACTAAACACTGGGGTTCCTGCAACAAGCTGGCCATTTGTGCAGGTGAAGATGCGCAAGCACCCCAGAGCCCACGGTCTAGAAAGCAGATATCAGGGTATCGCCAGCCATACCTCTATATGGGCTGATTGTGCCTCTGAGTTTAGGTTACTTTAGAGTTTATATATAAAACGTAATATTATATGTAAGCATATCAGGTTATCAAGTGAAATTACACAATTGACTTCATTATTTAAATAAAGAATTTTGCATCTGTATCATTGCAGTGTCTAATTTCAATGATTTGGTTAATATTTTATTTCAAACTAAATTTACTATGTGAAATTAAATGCTTTTGTATATATACTGATACATAGATATGATATAATAAGTTGTAATTATTCTTTTTTGAATGTTATGAAGAAGCAGATATTTATTTATTATATTTGAATACTTAAAAATTTTCAGATATTGTGTATTTATGTTGTAACATTAACATAGTATAATAATAATGATGATGAATCGGAAAAAATAAAGGGGACAAGGTAGGGGAAATTCTGCCTATTCTAAAATATAAAAAATACTATCCCAATATATAATCGTATAGAAAAAAAAAAAAAAAAAATGTTGAATCTATCAATTATTTATACAATTAGTGTTTTTTGGAATCTTGAATCCTTTTTACATTATCCTTTATTCTTTTCTGTCAGGATTGTGGATTGCAATTGACAGATGAACCAGATAAGCGATGTTACCCACTTGATGGCCATCTGTTGTGTCGTAATTGCCATCTTAACAGATTAGAATTACTTGGTAAACCTCCTAATGTGCAAATGCAAAGATCTCTTCAAATAAGTGACTTATAATAAGACAGCTATATTCCAATGCTACTGTTGCTTGCTGAAATTTCAAGATTATTAATTAAATCAGCAGTGCATAGATTTTTTTTTTCTTTTTTTTTTTTTTTTTTTTTTTTTTCTGTTATTTGCAAAATAAATCATTCGTAAGTGTTAAAAGTACTTTCAAATATTACTGTAGTGCTGTGTAAAAATGTCTCAATGTGTCTGATTTCTAGATTGACATAATTTTTATGTACAAGGCAGAGTCAAAGAATAACCTTAATGTAGCAATGATAATTTGAAATCTCATATTATACAATTGTACTCTATATTTGACTTCTAACTTTAACTTTTAGTATCAATGGTGTAACTCTATGGGTATGTTAGTGTACATTTCCATTATAAGTTCTACACTGGCTTCAGTGTCAGTCCATCGGTTTCAGCATCATCGGGGAGGCATTCATGCATTTATTCTTGAAAAGTACTATCTGACCATGGGTACAGAGGCAGAAGTGCATATATATAGGAGAATACAAAGGTTTGAAGTCTTATTATATATTAATTCTTTTAATTAATTTGTTGTAGTTAAAGTGGCATCTCTTTAGTTTGAAATCTAGTAGTCGCATGAATACTAAACATTCTGACTAGGAATTTTGAAAGCAGGAGCAAGTAAAGCATATCAGAACTAGAATATAATTAACATTCTTTACCAAACTCATTTCCTGAACTCTAAAATATTTAATAATGAAAATCATAAATATTGTTAAGTAAAAATCTGATAAATATATATCTGTAATTTTTCTTGGACAATCTATTTTCCAAGCAGACACCTCACATCTTTACTTGTATATGAAATATTTGAAATGATAAAAATATCCAAACAGGTTTTAAAATTCTAAGTATTACAGAAATATGTCTGGCACCAGCAGTGTGAGATTTAGAATTAGGCAATAATTTAAATAGTGTACAAGTTTATAAAATGGTTTTCTGTATGTATAAAACATACCAAATGACTGAATTTTTCTTTAACTGTTCATTACTTTGGTCAAAATGATAAAACATTATCTGATGGATTTCATTCTCATAGAATTAATTTTTCGTTGCAATATTGATTAAAAAAGTAGTGAGAATCTGAACTTTGGATGTTTTTCTATGTGTTTAATATTAAAAATTGGTATTAATTTTTATTTATATCACATTTTGTAAAAAAATAAAACAGAAAGAAATCTGATTTCAATTTTCTTCTGTTTTTCCCTCACATTATATCTTGTGCAGAATATTTAAATTAGCCTGCTTGCTGACACATTCTTCCACCAGAATAATATCAGTATATGTAGGCTTGTGGACCTGATGGGATGTAAAATGTCAGCAAATAGTAACATACTGTCTAGTTTGAAGCATTGGATAGAGTAGAAGGGAAAAAGCATTTATCTGACGTAAAGTTTTGAAGAGGAGAAATCAGAAGAGACAATATTGGGGATATTTGTGTATCGCTTTGGAAGATTTATAAATGTATCTTCTAAGAGGACATCTGTTGACAAGAAGTTCAGACAATAAAATAAAAGATGGCAGTGAATCACTGGCTGTAGAGTTAGTATGAGTGTATATTTTCACGTAGAATTTAACTATTAAACTTTGTGGAACATTGTAGGAGCTATATTAAAGCACAGTAAAATGTTTTTTCTTCTGTTGGGTAGTCTAAAATATTAAGGTTATGTTTTGACACTTCCTTATAGTATGTGAAATTTACTAAGCTGCCATATTATATAATCTACTATTTTTAAATTAATTTTTCTAGTGAAATTTGCGATTTTGCTAATAACTGTTTCTAATGCAGTATTTAGTAGCTCAGAATGTGTTTTTAAAGTGTTCTGCAAAGTTAACAAAGACAATTTGACTAACATTTTGTCTATGTGTTCTAAAATAAATTATTTATTTATTGGAGTAATGTAAATATATAGTTTTCATACTCTTGATGGAATTTTTCTAGTAAAATTTATATTTCAAACATCAGCAAATAATATTTTGTGATTCCTTCAATTGAATTTTGTAATGTTTTTTCAGCACTATCTTTCCAAAATTTAAGCCATCATATGAAAGAAGTCTCTTTCTTTTAGAATCTTTACAACACATTCAAAAACATTGCTTGCAAATGTTAAATTTTCATGTGAAAGCTGTGAACAGAAATCAGGTGAAACTGTGCATTTATGTATACATATTTTCTGTATTTCTTGCAAAGCTTTTCTAAAATTAGGTTTATTTTTTATTCATAAAAAATGTATACTTTTCTTTCTTATAGCTATCTAGGTTACAAAAGATATTTATAATTTCATAAAATAAATTATTTAATAAAATGTCAGTAGTATAAATACTGTCTAGATCATTATCAAAATCTGAAAATGTTTGTTTTGCTAAATTTGAAGTATCTTTGCTTGCATCAGAAGAGTGAATTTAGACTTCATTCATTATTATTGTTGTTAAATTTTGTTTTTCAAATGTTTTTAAATTTATAAAAAATATAAAAATGATATAAAATGTTTTTTATTTGTGGTATTTTAATATTTTAAGTAGTATAAAGTATTTTTTATTAAAAACTATAAAAATATTTTTTTCCCGGGTAATTTAAAAGCACTCTGGGCACAGAATTTAGGGCAACAAAATTCTATAGGTACTAAGTAGCAGAAATTCTAATGTGGGCCTTTAAAACAGCAAAGGCATTTTGAGAATTAAATTTGGGGAAGTTATTTAATGCTATTGAAATATATTTAATAATTCTATAGTTCCCAAAGAAAATTAACATTTTAGAATAATTTGTCTTATCAAAGACATGGAAATTTTAGTGTTAAGTTTTAATGATAAGAAAATCTTTTTAGCATAGTTGAATCTGGAAATGGGTTATTTTAAAAGCAAAGTATAAAATGATTTTGTGTAAACTTTTGTCTCTTTTCTGATCAAAAACTTCTTAAGATAATTAAAGAATCCTTTTTAAATTTGGTGTTAGTTATAAAAGTTACTGTTCCAGGTTTCCTAAAAAGTAATAAAGTGCATTATAATTAGTATTTAAATTATTTTAATATATTTGAGAAATTTAATATCTTATTGTCTGAGAAGCCTTTAAATTTGAAAATAATTAATATAATCTAACAAATTTTCTACGAACTAAAAATTTGGATTAAAATGCATGTAAATTGGAATCTTTTTGTTTAATGCGGTGCCCACCTTTCATACGAATAGTTTATTATTTTTGTTATTATAATTCTGAAAAATGTGTATTGTTTCTAATTTGTGTCCATAAGAGTACTCATAAGTACTTTAAATAGGAACTATTAAATAGGAAGCATAATATTTTCACTTTAATCCAGAATTAATATTTACATTTTTATACAATGTGTTTTTTAGTAGAAATGATTAAACCTGATTTGTGTCATCATTTAAAAGGTTAATTAAGTAAAATTTTGTTGTTTAAATACCACAAATTAAAATTCAGTTAATTTTTTTCATAATATTGATAGGAAAGATAATAAAACTGCCCTCCCCATATTCACAAACTTCCTTTTAAGGACTAGTAAATAAATAATTTCATAATTAAGTAAGAATAAGGGTTTGGACCTTCTATGGTTTTTGATAGTACCTTCAGTGAAATGATAAAATATTAAAAATTATTAGGGAAATAAAGTGTTAGAACAGCAAATTCTGGGGTGGTTTTATTTGTTAAATTTATGAGAAGTAAAATGATATAATAATAATAATGAGATTAATTTATGAGAAATAAGATGATAATTTATGTTTTCTAATATGGTATTTATATGAATTTCTGCATTATACATTTCCATTGTTTTTGTGTTCATTGTTCTGGCTGTGGGTGATGTTCATATGTTTATTATCCTCATTATATGTCAAAAATACTTCAAAGGTACTTTAAATGCAAAACATCTGGCAGAATGCAATATCCCCCTTCTCTCTTTTGGTTGCTGCTGCAACCTGAACTGTGATGATTAGATGAGACCTTTTCTGTGTGCTGCAATTCATTTATTGTTAAAGTAGTTCCAGTGGCTTGGTAATTAATTAATGAATTATTTGATTAAAAGTGAATTGTTTTGCTTTAAGAAAAACTTAAATGGTTTAAAAACTATTTCAGAACCTGAACTAGTTTGTTCCTGCTGATCAGTGCTTTCAGACTTAGTGAGTTAATGACAAATTATTCTGCATTTTCTTGTAATCTTCTCCAAATTTTGGTGTGACACTCTTGAGAATTAGAAATTCTAAAATTTGTAATTCCTTTGTACACATAAATTGTGTTTTGGAAGTTATTTTCAGTGTAGCATTTAATGGGAGATAATTTTTTTTTTTTTTTTTTTTGGTGTTTCTTAAAGGTTAAATTCTTTACTATATATCTTCAATTCGTCATATGCTTAAACTTCTACAGAATATAAATGTATTTGTTATGCATAGTAAGTTCTTAAAACTTATACATTTAAAAGCATTTAGAATGAATAATTTTTCTCCTTGTGATAGTTACAGGTAATTGAAATTAATGACACAGAAGTGATAATTCCTTCTTCTATCAGTATCAATTTGTACATATTATTTAATCCTCAAAGTTGTTTTTAAGTCATACTGAAAACAATTCTTTTCAGTTTAGTGTAATTTTCTAATTTTTCACTATTGATTATTATCAAAGCAATTTGTTTGGTTAAATTATGGAATTCTAAAAACCGTATTCAGATAGTATATTTCATATATCAAATTGTTCAATGTTCTATATAATTTTTTATATATGTGAGCATGTTAATTTTTTTATTATTTTTTCAATAATTATTCCTGATTGCATATTTAATGTCATTGTAATTTTTGGTATCTAAGGTGTGATTGAAATGTTTTGTGGATAGACTGTTTCTTTATTTTAATGCAGTTTTGTTAGATTTTGTATAAGTAAAGCCTTGCTTAAAATGCCAATGCATTACTTTAGGATTATGCAGTCAGCAATTAAATGTGCAGACAAATTTGAATATTGTTATAGAACTTATAATGCTACAATCAAAACTTGTGGAGTATAATGCAAATAATATGTTTAAGGTGTATGTAATTGAGAAATAGTTAAGAATTAATAATAGTGTTTTAATAATTGGAAATCATTAAGACTGTTTTCTTTTTTGCAGTATAATTCCACTGACCTTTTAAGTATGTCTAGACAATTTGTGAAATGCTGTCTGTACGTGATAGTTTGATTGTGCCAAAAGTTAAATTCTTAGTTTATTTTTTAAATATTTAAATGTATAATTATTTCTTTTGTTTCTGACGGGGAAAAAAGAATTAGCCTTGAAACTAAATGAAAATTCAGTTTTGTATCCATTTATATGAAGCTGGAATATTTTTAGATTTTTTAGTTGAACCACATTACATAGAAGTTTTAATTGAGTCATATTGCAAGCTCTCATGCTGTGTATTGGTTGCATTCAAATATGCTAAAAGATGTGTAAGCCTCACCTTTGAGTATAACATCCCCCGAAGATGAAATGCATTTGCTTTCATGTGTTCATTTGCAATTTCTTTTGAATCAATATAGTTTGCTGTTTTTATTTTGTTTTTGAAATAGTTAAAAGAGTCATTTAGATAATAATAATAGATTCTTGATAGTCATCTAGATAATCTTGATAATAGCATCTTTAAAAACGTAAAAGTTGAAAAATGGCCTAAGTGTTAAATTTGTATGCATCATATATAATTTTTAATCGATTATAAAGAAATCATAAAATGAGCTGAACTAAGAAATATTCTAAACTTATCCCTTTTAAGATCTTTCTTTAAAGTGTGCATTTATTTTATTTTTCTTTAATAATGCCTGAACAGAATGCTGAGAAACTACTTTTGTGTTTCTGTTTTTGTTTTTAAAATGTAGTCTTTAAGTTTTACTGTATATTTCATCCATCCATATTTATTTCATTACTTTTGTCTTTCATTCTTCTTCATAGTATTAAAGTAATTATATTATAATTAAAGTAACTATTTTGTAGTTAAATTGAGCAAAAGAACTTGAGGGGAATAAGTTCTTCTGCCCCCTTTTCATTCATTCTTAGAGGGTTTTTTTTTTTTTTTTTTTTTTTTTTTTTAATTTCATTTACCAACTCTAAAGTAAAATTTCCTTTTTCCATTAAATTTTCAGTTTTGCTATTTGCTTAGATGCAATCAATGTGTAGCATGATGAATGCTTTTGCTGCCATTTAAAGTGCCATTTTCTATGTATATGTTTGATTTTTACACATATTGGGTTCCATGTGCTGGCCACATGAGTTTTTAATATTGTTTTTGACATTTTAATAGTTTATACATTTTATATGAAAAATTAGGAAAGAAATTAGTTGTTTGTGTGAGGGGAATTTATTGTACTGTACTTAATATTATATCCTTAAATAAGAGTAATATTATTTTGCTAGAATTTGATTTAATATAGCAAATATAATGTGATAAAATTATAATAGTTATGTGTGTTTGACTGTAATACATATTTTGAAGTTTTAAGGAAATCTCATATTTTTTGCTTTATAAAATGATAATGAAATTGCGCTTTATTTGTTATTATTTCCCTCCTTAAAGTTTATAATTGTAATATATGTGTCTATGCTCCATCAATAAAGAAAATGTTATGTTGTTTATGTCTGATTGTAATATGTGTTTTGATTACAAGCATATTGGGTTTGAAATTCATATGTAATATCTTAATGGAAATAGAATTTCAAAATAGAATTGATAGTTTACTATGTATACTGAAGAGCTAAATGACCATCTGCTCAATAATGCATTGCACGACCTTTGGTCTGCAAAACAGCTACAACTTGTCTTGGCATGAATGAAACAAGTTCTTCGTAGATTACTGGAGACAGTTTGTATCAAATGTCTAAGCAGCAGTCATGCAAAGTTCAGATATTTGGACATGGGGGTGTTTGAGCTTTGAGCTCCATAACATTCCTAATGTGCTCTATCTGGTTAAGATGGACATTAGTTGGAATTCATGCTTAAGCTCCACGAACCACTCTTAACACAGCTTGAGCCTTGTGACATGGGACATTGTTCTGCTGGAAGTTTCCATTAGCAGTTGAGAACATAAATGCCATGTAAGGATGCAACTGATCCACAGTTATGTTCAGATAGTCTGCGTCTGCAGAACCGCCCATGAGAACATCCCCCAAAGCATAATACTGTCATCACCAGCCTGTGTATGACCTGTTATACAGAGGGAGAGCAACTGTTTGCGTGGAAGACTGTGTACCCTCTCACGACCATCGATGTGATGAATGAGAAATCTTGATTCATCCGACCAGGCAACTGTCTTCTACTTATGGTCCAGTCTCGATGTTCCTGGGCCCATTGTAGTTGACAATGATGGTCAGCTGAGCCATTGTCTGGTGCCGATTTTGCTGTACCAACATCAGACATCCTTTTTCTTTGATAATGCATGGACGTCCAACACCTTGGTGTCTACTGTTGGTTTCACCATCATTAATCTACTTTGCATAAATACTAACAATGGCAGATCGGGGGAAAACGTACCAATTGTTCAGTTTTGGAGATACTTGTTCCGAGTCTTCAGGCATTACAATCTGCCCTCTATCAAATTTGATTAGATTAGCAGCCTTTTCCATCTCTTGCAAAAGTAAGTGCAAGAATGATTCCTTACCTTCTCCAGCAACAGTTAAATACCATTGCCACTTAGTCACATATCCTCCATGTCATCCAGATGAGTTTATTGAAAAATGTGGGGATGATCATAATGTTTTGGCCTGTCTGTAAATATGAATATCTTTATTCATTAATATGGCATGGCTTTCAACATTTCCTGAAACTTTCAGTTTTGTTGTAATTTTTAGGAATATAATTGGATATTTCATATTATATATTGTTTCCTAATGGTTTTTTTACATTTTCCGTGTGTATCTGGATTGACAGTGAACCCTCTGTAAGGTGACTGTCTACATTTTAAATCATTTTGATCTGCAGGGATGTCTTTTTAGAGAAAAAAACTATCAGTGATAGTATTATCGATTAGCATTATAAATTTGTGATATTTAAAGGTTTTGGAGTTCATTAAAGAAAAGTATATAAGCGTAGAATACAGTATTTTGAATGCTATTATATCAGTATTAATTGAAAAGAAAAGTGGCAAATGCTGTAGCAAACAAACAAAAAATACAAAAAGAACTTAATTTTCTGAAGTTTTTGAATAACTACAAGAAGCAGGTCTTATGTGTAAAGCTAAAAAAAAAAAAAAAAAAAAAAAAAACTGCTATGTTTGTAAATTAATTCTTCATGAATTTTTCCATTTCGATAATCACTTTAACAAAGCAATTTCATGCAGTAAATTAACCATCTTATAATTCAGTCAATTTTTGTCTAATTTTTAGTCCAAAGGGGCAATTTGCCTAGAAGGGCTAGTAATTTTGTTTTGTCATTTTGCATTGGTTCACTATAAATGGCATTTCACTTTTCAAATTGTTGCCACCAAATATTATAGCCTTGCGTTATATTTAAAGAAACTAAATAATGAAGAACCTGCATGAACATATATATGGTTCTCGCACTATGAAAAAAACAACGGTATCTAGAGACATCAAATTTTGTATAACGTAGTCCTTCACTCGAATACGGGCATCCGGGAAGCCCAAATTTGGAATTTGTTTTATTATCTATTTCATATTTCTTAAAATTTTAATGAATTTTTGATGCCCAAATGATTTGCTACAACGATTTTAAGGGGAGGAGTGGCAATACTTATACAGGGGGGGACCCATTTTTTATTTTCAGCGCTCGAGACTGTGTATCATAAATTCTAAAGATATGCCCTTTTTAAATTATTTTGTGATATTGCTGTTGAATTGAATTTTATGGTTTAAGTGCGAGGAACACGGTATTTAATAAATAAAGGAAACACACAAAACATAAGAAAGAACGTCCCCTAAGGCGTAATATAAAATCTGAAAGCTTTCAATTTTTTTTTAACTTTGCTCATAAAATTAGGACTTCATTGCCGCTATTTCACCTCCTTCCTTCATTAAAACTTCTTCCTCCTCTTTACAGAGGCAGGGGCTGTGAATGTCTTTATCTGAACTACATTTGGAGCTCTTGCCTCTTTCAGGCCCACCAGCGGCCGAGCGGTAAAGTCGCTGAACACTGGTAGAGTTCGGTCCGAGGTTCGAATCCCGCGAACGGGCTGGCTGCATGGGTGCTTTCGTGGTTTTCCCCATGTGTAACGTGTATATGAGCCAGTTTCCCTTTAGAAAGTCCTCCATGAAGGCATCCCTCCCCTTAGGCAGATAGCCCTAGTGTGCTTTGCCATAATTAAATACACCAACACCTTGCCTTTTTCAAGTTTATATCGATCAGGGTTAAATAGAAGAGCTTAGTTATTCCTTTGACTGATCCCTTGCCGACGCGATCCGCGAAGAGGAAGTTAACAGGAAATAATCTGACGCCACAATGTTGCATCATGGACCTTATAAGGTCCATTTGTTGCATCAGCTCTGACTTCGCTTATTTAAAACTAGTTGCGTTCTGCTGCGAAGCGATATTCTAGCAATGTGGACATCCAGAATTAATTTTAATCACGTGTATTTGTTTTCTAGGAAAGCACTGGTCTCAAACTGACGGCCCTCAGAGTAATTTTATTAATACATTTCCCGTAGATTAATTAGCATTATGATGACAAGAATTTGAAGAAAGCGTTTAAGATTTTAATGGTCTGAACCCCAGTTTTACATTATTTTTCACTACCCAAAAGAAGCGTGAGTAACTCTTCGGAAAATCTAGAAATGGAGCTAATTAATTTACAATGTGATATAATTCTTGTTGAAAGGTGTGAAGATAAAAATTTGATTAATTTTTATTAGCACTTGTCGAAAGACAAAGAAATATCTTACTACGAATTTTGGCTATAAGAATAATCGCTTTGTTTTTTGTTTTTTAAGTGCGTTTAAATGAGAACATTTTTTTGAGAGGTTGAAAATTAATAAGTTTGCTAAGAGAACCAGACTGCCGATCAATTATCTACAATTCGTGATTATACTTTCTACTAATTTCCCTCCAAGATTACAAACTTCTTCACAATCGGCACGTCATGAAGTGGTTTAGCAGTGGTATTAAAAGACAAACACCTTTATAATAATTTACATACTAATTTTAGTTTTTCTGTATGCGTCATAGAAAAATGTAGTAAGTAGGTTGTCATTATTTGTTCTCAAGTTTTGTCCTTCTTCGGGAAGCTTTTGTATACTATTTTTTTCTAGTTTTAATTAAAAGTAAGTTATTTAGTAGTTACTTCAGTATATTAAAATTACTCAAAGCCAATCTGAAAATTTTAATATTTATAGCTGTCAAATTTTAATACTTAGCTGTGTGTCTGAATTATAAATTGTGAGAAACAAATTTCTTTAACTTACCAACTTTCAGATTTCAGGCTAAATGTTAGTATAAATTTGATAATTTTCTTTGTGTTATTTTTATTTGTATTTTTTGACAAATATCTAATAAAAAATTTTATTTAATTAGTGAATTTTGATTTGTTAACCCCTCCTTTCTTTAAACTTGCTGTCCGAAAAAAATTAGATAAATGTGTTGTATACTTTCAAATTGTGAAGTGTAAGTTTGAGACCAGTCTTCTTGCGTTGTGGTGCCATAAAATGCATAAAAATGAGAAAGATTCTCATTTGTATTAGTCAGATATTGCATTTCATATTTTTCCAAAAGACAGTTTGCTTTTGGCAAAAAAAGTGGATAAATGTGTTGAAGACAGGATTCTATTAATGTGAAGTTCTGAAGAATTAGCAGCGAACATTCTCTGTGCAGTCATTGTGAAGATGACATGAAAAATTGCTTGTTTTGATGCCGCAAAAGTAACTGTTAAAATCCGATACATTGCCGAGAAAAGAAGAATAGTGCAAAGTACTTTTGAATGACTTCACGAATTATGTTTGAAAAAAATTTATGTGAGGCCCATTACGAAAATGATGATAGGAATAATAAATCAAATATGAATGAATTTAAAATAGAACTCACAAACGGCAGTGTAAATATCGCTGAATGCCCTAACTGTAAAAATAAGCGAGAATGTACTGAAAATTTTTTAAAAAACAAAGCGAGCTCAGCATTTTAAGTAATTCAGAATCGTATAAAACGTCAAAGTAATTTCGCATAAAAAAAGACCTTCCTCCTTTGTCCCTATTTGAAAAATTAAGTAATCCTCTTTAGATGCTCTGAGCAAAGTTGTTTTGTCAAACTTAAAACAACAATCATTCATTTATTTAAATGTAATATATCTGTGTAGATGTCAGTCAGACAATTATTTTAAAAATATGTGCTGTTATATCAAATCAGAAGAGAAACAAGCCAATGTAAAATTTATTAGGTCAAGAAAGCAATCTTAGATTAGATTGCATTTTGAATAAAACAATCGATTTCAAGGGAAATCAAGCATAAGTTCCTTCATATAAATTCAAAACTACGCCAATCTAAGGTTGCTTTTTTTTTTTTTTTTTTTCTAACTTTAAAAAGCCATTATTACAATTGTCGTAGAAAAAGTAATAGAATTCTCTCATTTCGTGTGCAGATGAAGAAAAGATAATTGATGCCACAGCTTTTTTTCCTTTGTGTTTTAATAATAAAT